AAACGGGTCGGCGTAGCTTGGCCACGCACTATAGGACACCGTACCACTCCTCGGCCGAGCGTACGCAAAGGGGCAACAAAAGGTGAGCGTGGACTCGCTTGCTGGATTCCGTGCCGACCGGTCGTGCCCTCGCGATCTCCGGCGTCAGTGTAGCTCTGGCCGACTGGGCTCGCCCTGCGTCATCTCCTGACGCCGACGACCTTCGACGACAGTGTAGCTCTGACCGACTGGACTTGCTCTACGCCATCTACTGACGCCGACAAGAGCTCTCGCAAGTGGTGCCCCGTGCTCGGACTCCTGTGACCATGTTTCCATCTTTCCTATGTCTCCTATTCCCTCGATTTGTAGTCGCTCTCTCTGGTTTACCACCTCACGTCTCTTCCCCTTTTCTACACCTTTACTCCTACCCTTTTAATCCCTCCTCACCCCCATCCCTTGTGAGCTACTGTTGAGGTGTCGCTCACGGAAGCAGACAGTTACGGGGCTCACTTTTCTCTTCCTTTCTCTCTCAACTTCAAAAGGTGAGCGTTCGCCTCGGGCGCGAGGCGCCGTCAGCGAAGTCCGACGAGCCCCAAAAAGGGAATGCGTGCTCACCCTCAGCTGTTCCGGAGAAATCTGACTCACTCCCTACGCGCGCGCGCGCGAAACGTCCCGAGAGATGTAACTTAGAAGTGTGGGAGCTTGGGCTAATTGGTATGGCATGACGATAGTTATAGCGCGAGAACAAAACGACGACACAGAGACAAGACGTGTCCTTCTTGTCTCTGTGTCGTCGTTTTGTTCTCGCGCTATAACTATCGTCGTCCCGAGAGACTCTGCGCGCGGCGCCACAGTCGACATCCGCTACCGGGTGAGAGGGGTTAAGCGTCACTCCTCGCTCTCCCAGCGCGGCAGACAGCGGAGGAGGGGAGTCATGTCGGGACATGAGAACGGCAGTAAAGGCGGCAAAGCCCGCGCAAAGGCGGCAGGCTAGCCTCAATTCCCACACGGTGTGTGAGATTATCTCCACTTTGCTGTCTCATGACAACCGCTCGAAGCCTTCTACTCGCAGCGAAGCAGAAATCTCGTTGTACTACGGCCGCCTGGATCGGGCGCGTGCGGCGGTGTCCGATCCAGGCGGCAGTGGTTGTACACGCCTGAGTGTCACTGCTGGCTCCTCAGGTCTCCCAATCGCTCCTGCCAGTGGTAAATCACTGTAAGTGTTTCTTCATTCGACCACGAAGTGCGCGTACGTTGCGACGTAGTTGGCGACACTCCCAACTAGTTTGCATCGAGGTGCTTCAACTTCTCCGACGGTGCGAGAGTCGAACTAGGCGTGGAAGACAACGGTCGCCCGCTTCTCCCGTAACTAAATGCGGTCAATACGAATCCTAAAATATGCAATATTTTCAATAGTGTTCCTTCCAATTTAAACAGTTGACAATTTGCTTTTTTTTATAAAGATATAGCTGTTTTAATGAGTTTTTAATCAACTACGCTCGATTTTTTGTTTATTGTGCTTTCAAGAAGCTCGGCTAGGGGACGAGAGCGAAATCACTAAAGCACGAAATCACGATCTCCCAGCCAGATGGCGATGCGCGGATCGCGATAGTCTTGATCCCGATCACGCCTGATCATGATTGAAAGTGACCGTGTAGCAGCACCTAATCCAAATCGGCACTGCGACACCGGTATAAGATCGAGATCAAGAAAACCGATCCGGATCGCCCTGATCGCGATTAAAAGTGCCCGTGTGACACCGGTATAACAAAGCATTAAACATGACATATGTAAACCTATAACACATGTCATGCCGGGTTAACGTCAATTGTGGTTCCAATGTTGATTCCAGTTTTCTAGCAGTCTAATAAACATTGCATTTGTACATCTATGATTCAGCAAGCTATAGTTGCGTGCAGTACTCGCATCGTCACACCGTAAAGCGAGCTTCGTTCCGATAGTACTGATGGCTATGCTTTAAACGGGCCCTGCAACACTTTTTGAGCATGGTCAGAAAACGCTGCCCATCGGTAGTCGAAGCTCCCGAGAACACGCAAGAAATATAGCGCAGCACGCAGCCTGGAATTCGCAGCAAGTTCTCAAATTCAGCTTAAAATTTCTTTCTCTTCTCTTGACAATTGACGCTACAAGCCCAAAATCAACTCGACACAGCCATTGTATCAGTCATTGGCCGATTTGAGCATGGCGCGCTCGGTCGTTACTGGGGCCACCACGGGAGGCCACGGCATGTCTACTCTTGCGCGCGCGATCCCACTGAAGAGCTATGTATTCGAGAAGAAAAAAAAAAGTACTCAAGGTCAAGAGGTGATTGTGGCGTATTTTCTTTCTCTGTGCCATCGCTCCTTGCTTAACTTTCAGTGCTTTTGTCGGGACGAGAGAAGCGTGCGACAAATCTTAAAGGGGTCCTGCAACACTCCTTGAACATGGTCAGCAAAATGCTGTTGATCTGTAGTTGAAGCTCCCGACAACACGCGAGCCAAATATTATAGCGCAGCACGCGGCCTGGAATTCACAAGAAATTATCAGTCAGCTAAAAATTGCTTTCTCTTATCTCGACGAATGATGCAATAAGCTCAAATATCACTCGTAATAAGCCCGTCTATCAGCCATTGGCTGATTTGAAAATGGCGCGCTCGGTTGTTATAGAGATCACCGCGGGAGGCCGTCACTTGTCCACGCGTGTGCACGCGATCACACTAAAAAAGCCACGTGATCAAAGAAAAAAAAGAAAAAAGTGCTCAAGGTCACGAGACAAGACAGAATGGTCGGGACGAGAGAAGACAGTGCGATTGCAGCGTGTGACAAATCTTTGTAACTCCGCCCGTACTAGACAGATTCTAAAAAAATTTCGGCGTTGAATTTGCGAAGCAATACGCTTTTTCAGTGAATTAATTTCATGGTTACTCAAAAAAGGGTTTGAGGGCCCCTTTAAACTCTGCTCGCACTGGACGGAGTTTAAAAACTTGTTGCGGCGGTGAGTTCATAAGGTGATGAGCTCCTTACATGAATCCATTCCATGGCTACTTGAAAAGGTGTTGCAGGGATCCTTTAAAGAGCTCGTTTCGTAGCAGTTCCGGTACCGTTGGCTGCGAGCGAAAAAATTATCTTGTCCGCGACCGAAAAAAATCGAGAAAAATGCATATAAAATAAATAAAAATACTTGGTTCGAGTGAGAATCAAGCCTAAGCCGTCAGCATGGCAAGCAGATGTTCAACCACGGAGCCACGCTTTAGCTTGAAGCTAGGTGCTTCAAGGGGAAAAAAAATAACACATGAATGTCATAGTTTCACGCATCTAATATTGCGTGGAAGAAGCGCACAATCGCGCCAGACGTCAAAACATGCAAATTTCAGACATATTTGATCATAATCAGCTGAAAAAAATATCAAATATGTGAAGACCTGTGTAGGTTCGCGCGTTCCCCACGGATGCGTAGTCGGCCCTTCACCGATTCTCAAATGGAAGAATTATGGCTTGTTAATAGGCACTTGACTGTTCTTGCAGTAGGCGAGGACAGTTTGAAACAGTCATTGTTACGCGCACAGACATGTTATGTTAACAGAGCACAGCTGATGGGCAGGTCTGTGGTCAAGGCTATTTGGTCAAAAACAAACTTGCAAGCTGTGGCTGTCTTGCAAGCTGTCCATTTCAACACACACTCGTAGAAAGCTAAGGTTAATGTCTTCGATGCGTTCCTCGCGGTGGTGTAGTGGTTAGGGTGCTCAACGGCTGACCAGAAGGTCGCGGGTTCGATCCCAGCCGCGGCGGTCGAAATGGTGGAGGTCCGTGTACTGTGCAATGTCAGTGCACACTAAAGAACACCAGGTGGTCGATACTCCTGGAGCTCTACACTAGGGAGTCATAATCAAAATTTTGTAGTTTAGGGACATTAAACCCGATATATTATCAATGCATCAGACGCAGGAATTGGCAGTCGACTGCTAGATTTTGCGCGTGCGGCGAGTGCACGGACCTCCAAAATGACGAGCCCGCCTCGTGTATGACGTTAGGTGCACACCTCCTGTACATAGATTGTGAAAAACATGGCTCTCTTTTTTTTGCCTTTAGGTCATCCTAGGCCAATGCAAAAGGAATCCCGTGAGCTTTATTTTGAAGTTCCCTTTGCACACTAACCACACTTTATTCGAAACAAACAAGCACAAAAACTTGCATTCAAGTATAAAACAACAGTATATACAAAACATTTTTTTTCTTTTCACTGAAATATCAGAAACTGAGAACAACAATATGCTAAAACAGTAAACCCCAACTAGGGCCTGTTACACAACCTTTAGAATGTGCAGGAAATATTGTGGTGACAAAAGTGTCATAACATGAAAAGCCAGGTGTGCAGTTTTCTCCAGCAAAAAAAAAAGATCAGACATTCGGTCACCTGAGCGAACACATAAGTAATGCCGTTTCAGACGAGTCGGTATTAATGTGGTCCTTGAAAACTGAGAATTATTCATGCAAGGAGAGATTAAATCCGAGCTGTGAGAGTAACTTCATACTGAAAAGTGGGACACACACACACCAGAATTCCCAACAGACAGACGATCCGAATAAATTGAGGTAAGCTTGATAAAAATGTGGCCACATGAAGGTATTTGGCAGACGTTGGACTGACACTTGGTTAAAACTTGTAGTACAAAGTTGGACCACAAACCTCATGTGATCTAGGCGTGATACAAACAAACTATGTGAACACTCTTGTTTAGAATATCTGACCAGCAGCAAGTGCAGGTTTCTCCCACGCCGTTGGATTTATGGGCTTGCAGCAATAATACAGGTTATAATATGTCTTTAAATACTATGTATCACAGTCTTCTGTATTAATGCACAAACTTCAATCAGGTCGCTAAAAAGTAATCGGCAGTCATAATCTTTAAAACCAAGCATGTTTCATATAACTGTCCAGAGAGAGGATGCGCTAGAGTTAAAAATAAAATCAACTACAAAACACACTTGGGCAGCAGGCTAGTGTTCCTCGGCTTGCTTTACAGACAATGCTGCAAAAGCCTACTTGCGGTTGCTTGAGAAAATAGGCTCAAGTAACTTCATGCGGCTATGAACACGAAGGTGAAACCAACTACAGGATCGATTTCGTTGGTCACAGCTATATGAAGCCATGCCACACAAATATGGCCAACTTGACAACAGTTTATGCAATGTGGCCAAACTAGTCTGCAAATAGGTTGTCACCACTTAACTCTGAGCCTGCTGTACAAAATGCCTCGTTTCGACCAGAGAGCTCCGGACAGAAATTACAGATCATAAAATAGCAATCTAGCAAGTTAACCCCACCCTGCTCCATTTTAAAACACAGTTGCAGCAGCCAAACCTATCCAAAGGAACTTGCACGAAACGACAGAAACAACCATGAAACGCAGTATAGGTACAAACGCACATGCCGCCTGAGGCCTTGAAGTCAAGGCCACACAGGGTGCCGTTCAGTTACAAGTTCATCGCAGGCATTAAAAGGCTTCAACTGCAGCTGCTACTGCATTCCAAGCTGAGATATAGCATCAGCCTTGGTCATATGTGGTGCTACTAAACGAGCTTTGATGTGAACAGGTCACATCAAATAGTTGTGGCCACAACAGCGCTTTCATGGCTATGCTGTTGAAGAAGGTCGTTGACGTGCAACTTCGGTAATCCTAGCAAGAAGGAATTGCTTGTCCTTTCCTTCAAGGACAAGCTTGTCCTTGAGAACCTTTTCCATGTGAGCATGCGCAGCTGCCACTGAATAGTAGTAGTAGATGCTGATTCTGAAAAAAGGAAAGAAAAGAATATCATGCATACAGAGGATGAATTAACTAGGGCTCCACAATAGGAATAAGCCTTTAACACAAAACATTAGCAAAAAGAGCATTTCTATGTGCATCTGTAACTGGGTTGCAAGGTAATTGAAAAGAAAGAATGGTATGTAAAAAAGTTGAACTTTAATCACCCATAGCTAGAACCAACAGTGTAGCTAGAAATTTTTTCGGTGGGTGTGTTCAACTATACTTTATGTAAGTTCTTGCATTTGTTCATGTGTGAGCCTGTACACAGACGCTGACCATTTATTCCGACTTGGGGAGAACCGCCGAAAAGTCTAAATAATCAAGCCCGAAAGATTCACCAGAAAACAATATGGCGTAATTGGCCCAGTAGTTGGGAAAACTTGTCTGTACACGTCTGCAAACATTGTCAATAGCACTGTCACAGCCTTCCCTGCATCCGCATTTCAAATAGTGTGGTGGGCGGCGCTTCAAGGGAGTCATTGTTACTCTGCACTAGTCTGAGGACCTACAGACGATCACTATCATCCAACTCGGCGGTAACTCTCAAGAAACATCAGACTGAGGTCGGCTGCTTTCCACCTGGTGAATAATTGCAGCTTTCTTCACCGTCGTCTACAGCTTGCAGTTGCCATGTTTCTTTATTAGTATCGACGACTTAGATGTGACAGGTGGCGTCGGAGTCATTTAACACATCAGGTCTCACACGTCAAGCAACAAACGAGAGTGAAAAACACAAAGCACAAGATGCAGATCAGGTTTTATTTATTTACTTCATTTATTTACAGTATACTACAAACACAAAGCACCATGCAGGTGGAAAATATAAAGTTGCAAGTTTACAAGCACAGGTGCAGCCGTAGGGCACACAAGCTCAAAGAAAACGGAACAAAGCAAACCTACTGGCATGTCTGGAAGTAAAAAACGCCAGGCCTGCTCGGAAGGCGCAGCACAGCCACAAATATAGCTAGAAGAGTGGCCTTTCAGAGCCTTTTTTTAAACACTCATAGGGTAACTGCTGCAAACACACTTGCTTGATGCCCACTACGGCATTAATATTAAATATTTTAGTGTAGTAGGCTGGCATTCGCAATACTATTTTTCGTAATTCTTCTGAGAAGTGGGGTATCTACTAAACTATTGTGAGGAATTTTGTGCCAATTGTTCATGCAGTGGCTGATGACGACAAGGAGGCAAATTATGCCTGAAGTGGGTATGTGTCACAGTTAATAGCTGAATGAAAACAAGCTTTTGCAATGGGTTGGAGCATATTGACGACCCACTCGTTATGCTATTCGCATTGTGCAACGACTGCTTGTTCTTTCGCTGTTTTAAAACGCTTTATAAGTCATATTAACGCGATTGCTTTCCCGAAATCATGCCTGCCTAAGGCAAGTTTGCCATTTAGTCCCAAGTACCGGCATGGCTCAGTGGTAGAATACTAGGCTGGCACGCAGCAGACTCGGGTTCGAGCCCCACTGTGTCCTTGGTACTAGGTTTTTTTTTTCTTCTTATTTGTGTGATAGCGATTATGAACACTGGCGGCGGTAGACTACTACGGCGCCGCACGTGACCGGAGTTGTGCGCTCATAACAGCTTTTGCTGTAAAAGCTAGTACAACCTGACTAGAGAGCAAAATGTTATAGTTCACAGGATATATTGAGGCATATATAGGAATAAAAAAAAAACATCCCCACCCTTCCGCTCTTAATACTTCCATAATCGAGTGCAAGAGATGTAACTGCTGTAAATTATAGAGAAAAAAACATACAAAAGCTCTCCCCAAAATAAGTAGGGCGTGTAAATACAGTATTTGCAATTTGTGAAGAAACACTGCATTAAAAGAAAAATAAGAGAAAATTACGAAATACAAAAAAGAAAGCAAAGAGAAAACTGAAAGAAAAAGTCACGTGAACATATTGTAGTTTACTGCATTTCCAGATGGGTAAGTAGCGCGATTTTAAATGTACTTGCAGATTCTCAAGAAAATAATATTTTCAGGCAGCAAATTCCAATCAGAAATGGTTTGTGGAAAAAAAGAGTACTTCAAAAGATTAGTGTGCGTTTGATAAGAAAGTAGATTATGAGCATGCAGATTTTTCCACATGTGTGATAAAAATGGCTGAATATACACACGCACATTCATATTAAGCCTGTTGTGATAAAGCAAAAATAATACTTTAAATCTTGATATTTTTCTGCACTGCTCTAAGGTTGAAATTTTATTTGCAAACATGAGAGATGATTAGGTCTAGCTGCAGAAACAACAGACAACGCAGACTCTCAAATACCAAGAGGGAACGACGTTGGGCTAGTTCAACCTGTAGCATTCTTGAAGTAGTCAGTGTAAAAGGACTGAAAGCTGGGCCAGTTGGCGATAGTACTTGAACAGCGCTGCAGTTTGTCTTCTCTTGTGTCCGCGTAGACGTGCGCTGTGCTAAAATATGTTCAAGTAGTCAGTAGACTTTGGTAGTTCTGCCTTTCTCCATTTAATACGCGCAGTCATTCTCATAGCCACCACCAGCTGACTCTGGGCACGGCTTAGCTCGACTTGCAGTTTGGCTGTGGTAGCCAAAGAGTTTTCTAAAATTAACTAGAGGGAGCTCTGGCGCTGCGATCGTTCAGCTACCATGGGAATAATGGGTAGTACATGGATTTGCCAAGTCTTCATGCTTGAGAGGCTCGAACGCATTTGTGGCTTTGTTTACTGCTGCATTTTGGTTTTGTTTCAAATAAAAGAACGAACTGTTGTGGACATTTTCACCCAATTTGAAATGTTGAGCCTAAAAGGTTAAGGTAGTGAAGTGCAACTGCTGAACATTTGCTGGTTTTCGTTTTGCGACAAAGCAGATTCAGGCCACATGAAGCCAAGCAGAGCCGAAAATATGAACATTAGACAAACTCTTGTACTACCAATGATTCCCATACTCGCTGAAGCGCCTTGCATTGCTACAGTGTACTGTAAGAGCGCAGTGGACACTCTTTTCGGGGGAGGCAATGTGGTGGGGTGGCTACGCAAACGTCGCCAACTTGTGCTTCTCTCTTCGTCCGGGCAGCGGCACTGGCATCGTTATCAATAGAACTTGGGAGGAGCGTTGCGGGTGAAAGAGCCGTCTAGCTCTTCCAGAACAGCAGTAGTCAAGCCACGTTTCATTGCGGTAGACGCTGTAGCACCAAACTTTTTTTGTGTTTTTTTTCCCCCGGCAGCATTTAACTGCATGCAGCATGCATCAAACTAGTGTGCCTTTTTTGTTCCTGATGCACGCCGCAACATCAGAAAAACCAGTGCCATGGGTCTAAGTGCCAGACAGATTATGTCTGCGTGAAGGGCAAGTCAAAGGTGTCATTGTTTGGTGTCCCGGCGAATGAGAACAGGCGTAAAGAATGCAAAAATAACCTGTCAGAGTGGACAAGCTCCTGGAAGACACCACCTGGAAGACACGAGCTCCACTTCGAGCTGCTTCATGCACTCAAAGGCTGTATGCAGATCATTGATGGAAAAAAAAATGGCAGCATATTCACGGAGGGTCCATTCGTTCTTGCTTCTGTCTGTCCATGCGTCCGTCTGTGTGACCGTCCATGCGTCCATACGCCCGTCCGTGCATGTGCCTGTTCGTGCGTTCGTCCCTGCGTTCGTCTATGCATCTGCCCCTGCGTTCGTTCATGCGTCCATCCATGCATCTGTTCCATACCTTTTCCTGCAACCTTTTCCTGTCAGATAGTGCTCAATGTACATGCAAATGGCTGCTAATGGGAAATGAGAGACAGGAGAATTCGGCTTTTACTTTCTTACAACTTGCGCTTCGTGTCTACTTCCCACCTTTACCCACCTCGAGTTCATAATATATACTAGTTCATTGTATTCATGGCACTGCGGCTCAACGCTCGCTAAACCTTTCTAAAGCTAAGGAGGTTACACCCAGCAAGTATAACGTAACAACCCTTTCTTGTCAGATAGTGCTCAATGTACATGACAATGGCTGCTAATGGGGAATGAGAGACGGGAGCATTCGGCTTTCAGTCAACGTGCATTGCGAGAACTTTTTATTGTTCAACAAAGCACAGGAGAAATATCCCACCGGCACCACCTTGCACGTAAAAATGTAACACTGGTTACACACTACGACTACGACAATGAGGGACGAACAGGTGCCGCTTTAAGAAGCTTCGCCCCTAAAAGTGTGGACACCTCATAGGAGACCTATTTTTCGTGGCGATGCTGTGCCACGATTCTTCCCTATCTGCCAGCCTACCTTAATAAAAAGCCGATGCAAGACAGGACTGTTTGAAACTTCAGATCGGAAACTTCAGACAGGCAATCCTAAGCATGTGCAAGGTTCCCCATCAGAGGAAAGGGTGGAGGCAGAGGTTCATTGCTGTGCTTCCCGCATTTCTCTTAGCGAATGGTAGCTAATAATGATGATTAATAAAAGCCCCCAAAAATGCTACTTCCTTTTCCGCAACAACCAAAATGAAGCAAAAATAATTAAGCTACAATATTTCATTCAAGCATAGCGAAGGCACAAACCCAGCCAACATACCTACGTGTTTAAGCTCGGCAAAGAAGCGGACGTGCTCTATTTTCCGATTCCGAGCTGGAAGGTGAAATTTAAGCATAATCTTGATATAAATGTTTAGGTCTACACGGCATGACACTGCATGTTTTGGAAGGTACTACATCGTCCTTTTCCACGAAGTGCCATATAGGGGCAAATGTGATGTGGTCTAAAAAAAATATAGTGAATATGCGATGAACTTAAGCGCACCAAAATAACGAAAAATTATTACCTGCATCGCACTAAAAAATAGAAAGAAATGCATCAGGTTTCGTTGACTGCCTTTCAGCTGACTGAGTCAGTTGGCTGACTTTCAGCAAATTCTATCATGAAAGAAAAAAGAAAAAGACCAACCGAGAGCAAGATAACTTCTCAATATAGTCAGATGACAGTTAGTTCAAGCAAAGATTATTTTCAATATCAAAGAATTGGGCGTCGCAACTCGTGTACGGTTAGCAGCGAGCAGCTTCTGCAAATGAAGCTTATACTGAAGTTGCCTGTGGTGCCACCTATCACATGCTATGCCAACTGCCTCAGAGGAGCAGGGGAGTAAGCCCACAACCCTCTCCTAGCACACTGTAGCGCTGCAGCTCCCATAGACACTAGCGCCAGAGTTCCCTCTAGTGTATTTATAGGAAACTCTATGGTGGTAGAGCCATTCAATGGATACTCGGCTGGCTAAAGCCATATGGCATCCATTATGCGTAGAAAACAAACAGCATTCGAGATCAGCAGCTGTAATTCCTGTGTGGATTTTTGCACTGGCATGATCTCCAGCCATAGCCAGTGCTGGTAACCTAGCAAAGATATTGTAAACATCGCAGACACCTTGTTACGACATTCGAAGTGGGACTCAATAAGCCAGCCAGAGTCTGAAAAATCAAATGGTGCACCATGGGGCGTCCAAATTTTAAATCACAAGTTTACATTACTTCAATGAGACCAGTGGCGGTGCCGTGAAGGTGCCTAAATAAGTGAACAAGTCCGAATTTTCTGCATCCAAAGAACGGTCGGTGGCTGTACATACAAAATTGAAAATTTTCTAGGGAAGGGGTGAGAGGCGGTTGAGCCCCCTCAACTACTCTTCTCTGGCTATGCCTAAGGCTATATCTCGGTACAAGATGCTTCCCTTAAATCATGATGCGAATGGCTCACTCTAGTTGTAGCCTAATCACTTACAAGTTTTAAAAACCACTTCAGGACCTTTTTACATGTTGTGGTTGAGCATTTACAAACTAGCAAGTGCTAATTGCTTTATCAACGATCTAAATATTGCACAGAAAGAGTGTGCCACAAACTATCAGTGACTGTACACCCTTTTGGGCCTGTAATACGTGAATGGGCAAGCGGTACTCACGCTAACACTGCGACCACAGGCACGCCAAAAGCAACGCTGGTCAGGAAGTCCACTGCCTTGACCACATACCATCCCCACGGATGATCCTTCCACGAATTTATTACATTAGGCACCACCTTCCAGGTAAAAGAAAACTTCTGGAATGGCCCACACGACAGCGATGGCTGTATCCTGGACACATGAAACACAATGAAAACACTCCACCACTGAGAACAGCAAAACGTCCCTTGTTTTTTAACAACTGCAGCTCTAGCAGCATGCAATGTTACTGCCAGAGCAAGAGCAACTCTCACACTCTCGGCAACAACTTTCCTTGATAGCATTGTTGAAGTTACAGAACCGAAACGCATGCCTGCTACTGCACCAAGAAAATTGTATTCAAGTTTATGGATGATTTTCTCAATGGCCTTGCTGAAATAAATGCTGCTTATTTATTACGAGACTCGTAACAGTTGCGAACATGTGCGACAAAAATACATGTTGTTCACTTTGCAGAGAATACCTTCTTTTACTATTCATTTCTTAGACAGGACCACCTTTTCAGCATACCAATTTTCCTATGTAAACATTGCGTCCATTACGTAGTGGGTCAGTGTACGGCCGCAAATGCACTGTTTAGTTCTCCAAGAAAATGTTCTCGTAGTATGATACTAAATTGTACACTGAACAATCGAAATGCTTCTCCCATTTACATTTTTCATGTAAACAATTTTCTGAACACCCTAATGATTTGAGCAAGCATAATCGAAATCGGCTGCAAACACCCGTACTACTTGCCAAGTATAGCAAGCGTTCATCAAAGCGCATTTCTGGCTGACTGGGCTAAAATAGATGCGACACCCAAAACAATAAAATAATCAAGTGTCATGTCTCCTACACAAACAAACTGAAAAGCAAGCAATTTTCTTGAGGATAACATTAAAACATGATGCTTAAATGAATATACCAATATAACATACACAAAAATATGCAAAAAATGGCACCAAAGGGAAGATGGAAGCTTGCGATGAAAAAATCCAAAAAACAGGAGTTGTGTGATCGAGCTGACCTTTCAACTAGAGGACTTGTCTTCTACAGGAATAGAACTCTAGCCTTGAGGTTCTAGAAGTTCTAGTTTTGAAAAAGCCCACTTGTTGAAGTGCCTGCTAGAGGACACAACCCCTGTTTATGGACTTTTTAATGAGCAAAAGTATATTGCATAAGAAATGAAACCAGCTGTCTACAAGGGCAGCAGAATGATTTTCAAGGAAATTCAAATAAGCACAGTAAAAGAAAGTGGAAAGTTTCTTTGTGTTTTTTCGTGTTATAATGAAAGTATCTCATAGCTGCTGGCTGCTTAGAGTAATTTTTGGTCCTTGTATTTGCAACAACCTTATGGGAAATAACAGCACCAATGGGTTATAAATTACCTGCAATCCTTCTCTTCCATGCTGAAGAGCGACATCAACAGTTAAGACATGAAGGTAAGTTTTTAAGATCTTTAATATTGTTACGAGGAAGATTTATTCACCGAGAGCTGGTCTTGCTAACGGCTTAAAGAGCGCACAGTCATGCAGGCCAACGGGAGAAGCTCGAGAGTCTAAACCACAACAACCACATTGTCGTCTTCTTCATTTGGGTGCCAATTCAGCTGTGTTGGAGCGACAGTTCCATACACGTATCAATATTATTTGTTTTGTGATTGTACACTGACTATAGGAAGATAACAAGAAGGACAAAAGACTGATCTTATAACTAGAAGCCAAACCTGATAACCCAGGTGTCGGTGTGACGTCACAAATTGCACTCTTTTTTCGTATTTTGGCCTTATCAGCTCAATAGAATTTTGTAAGCGTGCCCCATTAATTTTCTGCGCTCCCCCCCCCCACAACACAACACAATTCGTTTTTCTGATGTAAAATTATGCAGCCCTTGTAGCAGCTACCGAAATCTACGTGACGCGAGGTGCTGCAAAAACTTCCAAGGTAGCATAGTCAACCCATATTTTAGATGCGAAGCAGCTCTTTGACTATCCTGCGGAACACTGTCTGTCCGTGTCTTCGTGCCAACGCGCTGCAACGCATTCTCCCGCGCCGCAGTTGTTGGACGGATGCTAAGTAGGTCAAGTTGCAGCTGCCCGTAGACGTTACTCTCCCCCTCACCTGCAGCAGCTGCTGGCGTCTCCCAACACATTTAGATGGTGTTGCTCCTCCGCCCGCTCACAGCACACTTCCCTCTCACTTCACCCTCTCCACCGGTCCCAGTGCTCGACCGCACGTTGAGTGGAAACACTTTTTCGACTTTTTTATCTGCAATGAAACTTACACGAAGTTGAACCCCCCTCCTGTGTCTTTGCGTTTCAAAGAAACGCTTACTTGAGTAAAGGCTACTCAGAGTTTCACTTCAAACTGTTCTTCCAGAATCCCCCCAAATGACTTCTTCCAAGTGGGAGTGGTGTGAACAGGCACTTTCTCATATTTTAATGTCCCAGAGATGCCGCTTGCCATGTTAACTTGGGGCCTCAGATACGTACACACCTTGGCAGTTGAAAACAAGATGGGGTCTGCATGCGAAAGTAGGCCACCAGGAGCCTAAGCGCCTGGCGGCGAGATAGCCAAGCTCTAGTCTATAAAAAGAGTAAAATTTAGAAGGCTTAATAAACTAACAAAACGTAAAGCATACTTACTCGACTAAGGCATAGGCAAATGGGATCACAGCAAAGACCAGAGCCAACAACAGGACGATAACAAAGAATGTATTGGACCGAGAAGCCCTATACGGTGTTTGAGATGGCGCACTGTTGTTCATCAGTGTGAACTGGAAGATAAGATAAAAATATTTCTTGCAGACATGCAGACAACCCCATATGGTATAAGAGAAGCAAAAATAAGTAAAGTGACACCACCCAAAACCTCAAGAGATTGTCTATGATTTGCTCAGTATTGGGATGAACTTAAGACAGGTTCACTTTTTCATATTATAATATACACAGTTTTTCTTAAGCAATCCAGATTTTCCCATACACTATAATAGGTAGTACCTTGTCGTCTTTGCATCCAATTTATAGGTCGAGGTGGAAAGATATTGCCACTAATTAGATTGCTCATAAATGATTAATTGACAAAATAATCAATTAACTTTTTTCTTATCAATTTTAGGGTAGTTTATATCGTGAAGTTGATCTACGTCACGAATCATGGCAACCCTAGTTTTTAGAAATTGAAAATACTGTCACGCGCGTCCCGCGAAAAAGACTAAGGCGACAGCGCATACGCGCATCTGCACGCTTTTATGCAGAACGCAACAACGAGAAAGACGAGGAACTCTCTCGCGCGTGTGGTTAATAAAAAGACCGACCCGCTGCTGTTTTCTCAGCGTCTTCAAGTACAACCTCTGTCTTGACGTCGCGACAATATCATACATGAGTTGACAGATCCATCATCGAACTTCCACACCAATAAACCGAAACTAACGCTCTGAGTGTGTTAGTTTCAACGCACTCGGTATGTTAGTTTCGGTTTGTTCGGCAGCGCGATCTGCAAATTCGACAATAGATCTCTGAAACCACGCATGATATTTTAAATTTTTAAAACTAAGCTAGCCATAATTTGTGATGTAGAGCAACTTTGCCACATAAACAACCACCTTAAAATTAATAATAAAAAAAAGTTTATTCAACTAATTTTGTCAATCATTCCTGAGTGATCTAATTAGTAGCAAAATCTTTTAATCTCGGCCTAGAAATTGGCTGCAAAAACAACAAAGGCCTATTATAGTTTTTTAAAGGAAAAATCTGTATTGCTTAAAAAAAGAACACCCTGTATAACAGTGGATGTTTTAGATCTCAAAACCACAATATGATTACATAAGACGTCGCGATGTAAAGCTCCGGAAATTTCGACCATCTGATGTTTTTAAACGTGCCCCTAATTTTAAGGATATGGGCCTCTAGCACATCCCCTCCATCGAAAATGCAGCGACCTTGGCCGGAATTCAATACTGCCACCTTTGGTTCAGTAGTCAAGCCCCACAACCATTAGAACACTGTGGCGAGTACGTTTAGTATTTAGTACTACCAATATGCAAAAGAATTCTGCAAGCCTTTTCATCAATACATCTGGGTTCCGCAGCTGCCGCATGGTAATGAAATGAATGCGGTGGAAAATGTTTTTTCCGGAAAAAGGTTCGAGCCATTGGCTTTTCCCCCTGATAAACTATAAACTTGAAGCCATTACAAACCTTTTGTACATAAAAGATGATGAAGTACTTGATGAAGGTGATGGCAGGCAAGAACGGACAGTAGAAAGTCCCAAGCCTGACGTAAAAGAACAACAAATTTTCACTGTGAGCCACAGACTACATATGCACAAAGAAAAAAGAGATTTGCTTCAGTTTACTGTTCAGTTGGTAGTGGAACCATGGTCCTTAAGCAATGCTCACCCTGACAGACAAGGATGGTGTACTAACTTTCTGCTGTCACTTCAATAGAGTTCTAAGTTTGTAAATCATCCTTCTATCTATATATGCCTGTGCTGAGGGGAAGTCCTGCTGTTTACATTTTTTTTTTTTTATCCTTAACCGACTCTGATGCAACTTGCCGGGTTTAAGCTGATTTCTGAATTTGTTTTTCTAGTGCACTACATACTTTAATGAATATAACAAGTCATGCACCTTGTTGCGAGCACGACTCTTCCTAAGCTCAGAAAATTGCAAAACAAATCAGCATGTCATAATAACCTGTAAATATAACTGTACGCACTAAAACAGGAAGTGACGTTCTAAATACATTTTTGAAGATGTTATATGTTGAACATTCACGACTGAGTCAGTGTCAAGCTGAGATTCTACACAAGAATGTTCAACATTCCATAACTTTTGTTCCAAGTGCATTTAGAACATCCATTGTAATTACAGGGCATAATGTTCTCATTTCGGAAATCATGATATGCTGATTTGGCTTGCAAATCACTAAACTGAAAAAAAAAATCTTGCTCCCAAGAAGGCACATAAAATTTCTGATATTTGGAAAACTATAAATTGTACTGAAAAATAATTACATTTTGAAGTTGGGACACAAATATACAAAAAGAGCCACCTCTACTTGTGAGTATTTTCCACTCTAAGAGCCACGGAAGGCCCAATGCATCTTGTTAATAGCTTTCAGCTGCTTGTGCTACTGCTGCCAGTAGTGAACACAAAACTATACTCCGAAGTGCTATGCAACTGAAAGCTATGTATACCACCGTGGTGGGTTGTCTTACAATCGAATACCGTATTTACTCACATAATGAACACATTCGCATAATAAATGCACCCCCAACTTCAGTCATCAAAATTTGGATTCTTTTTTTTTTGCCCGCGTAATAAACACACCCCCTACATTCATCCGCTGCAGTCCCGCTAACCAACACCTGGCACCTCCTCCCCCGTTGTATCTCTTCCATTTTTTATTATTTTCAGTTCTGATGCAGAAGCGAGGTGGCGGCCGTATGTTGTCGTTAATCTTGTTATCGACGGTTTGTTGTGATGCTTTGGGGGTTACTTGCTACAATGTTAACGGTGTTGTCGCAGTCGTCGCGCAAGGTTGCGGCGAAGTTGGCAAAGCATCCCGCGTAATATACGCACCCCCCAACTTTGGCCTGATCTTTCGAGAAAAAAAGTGCGTTCATTACGCAAGTAAATATGGTAATCTAAATAATGAGAGTAGCTGCAGCACTACAGCAAATCAACCCAGAAATCAACTTCAAGGAGCAAGCACGAAAGCTGCCCTTACCAGCAAAGTGTCTGAGAATAGACGAGATCCAAGACCCTATTTGGAATGTTGAACTCTTGCGGGCCAATCACCTTTGCCAGTTTGCACTGGCAACGAGTGAATATCAACCTGCATGAGTAGAAAAAAGAAAAGAAACGGAGCAGCACATCAGAAGGAAAATGTTACTTGCAAAGTAAGATGCCACCAAGAACGATTTTTCAAGGATGGTTTTTGACGTGCTTTGACTACACTGCCTTTGGCATGTACAACTTTTGTTGTAAGGGCCGATTAAAATGCGGGGGCATCATGCTGTTCATCATGAAATAAGTTGTTTTTTCTTGGGTGATGATACCGTGTTTTGATCATTGTTGGTTGATAAATGGGCACAGATTCTGAGAATAAAGCTTAATTTGAAGTTGGCGCATCTTGCCTAGCTAGTTCATAGCTCGTGTCTTCGTATTTTTGCGCTACCAGCTCTAATATGCATTCTTAAAAACTCGCCAAGAAATTCCATTCTCGGAGAAATGATTTTTCAATTACATGATATTCAAGTATACATGTAAATAGACTATAAAGCATAGTAATTATGGGATAACCACTTCCCATGACATAAGTATAAAATGTTCCATTAGACAATGCGACAGGTTAAAAATAACTACCAAACTACAACAACATTACAAAGCATTTGTTCACAGATAATGTATATTGTCTCTTCCCTAAGGAAAAACGGGTATCGGATGAAAATCAGTACTTAAAACAACACTGAAAAAAACACTCCATCATAAAGACAAATAGCAAGTCTGCAAATGGTGTCAAGTCAGACCTACATAGAGGAAATTTGGGCAAAAAAAAAGTGATAGTAAGACCTCATGTAGCGTGCCAAAAAAAAGCTACGATAGTTTCCAGTGGTGGTTGTGCTGCAATAGCAATAAATAACATCAGTTCCGCTGGTTGTCCGAAAGTCATTCGCACAAATCAACACACGGAGCAGTTGACAAACTCACTTTCGCGGGCACTCCACAACAAAGACTAGAGTCACTCCTACAATGAAGTCCAGCATGGTGAGCTTGTAGATCTGCTGACCAACAGCTGTTTCCCAGCACTGAAAAAAAAAAAAAGAAATGCATACAGCTAGCACCAAGTCGCCCAAAGCTGGGTCACAGCAGAACTGGTGATCTGCTATCCAGACACGGCTTGGCTAAGTGTTGCTTGGTTTTCATGAGTGCTTCTACGTTATGTGGATTATTTCGATTGCTTTCATTCTATCTTCATGTATTTCTTTCTCCTTCTAGCTGAATCTATCTTACTTTCTTTTCATTCCCCTTCTATATTTATTGATCACTACCTCTTTCTCTCTCTTTGCTTTCCTGCTATGTTATGCTTTACTCTCTCCCACCTTCCTGTCCCACCTCCTCACCCTCACATCTATTTTTCCCTCCCTTCCATTTCCCACCACCTTGCTATACTATACTACACGATGTCATGCTATGCTCTAGCATGCCCGGATAGCCGATGGGTCGGGACGCTCGCCTTGCGATTATGGGTACGTGGGTTAGAATCCCACCACAGCAAAAAACTTTTTGGCCACTATTTTCTCTCTTTCTCTTTTTATCTCTTTCTTCACTTTTCTTTCTCCCTCTCTGCACTTGTTCTCTTGCCCATCAGAGTATTTGCATCCCCCACTGGACATGCACAGCGCGTGGGATGCACAGTTCCCATTGCTCCAATAAAGCATTGGTTGATAGTCTGCGCCTGTTTGCGTTTTACTCTTCTTTTGTGTTCCCACCTGTTGCACAGTTACAGCATGTGCCAGTACCAGCATACCACTCACTCTCTTCCAATCAATGAAGCAGATTTGCCAAGACCACATGAACAAATTTGCCAAGCCCCCTGTTTTGCTAAGCCTCCTATCAAAACACTGGCTTCAGTTATATTCTTTTCATTTGCAGGGCTCTCACGATTTCAAGCCTCATCTTTCCTAGAACTTCTTTCTTGTTCGGAGCCTTATAGGGTTAGGTCTTGAACCTTCTAGGTGGTGCACTTGAAAAATATAGCAATAATAAAGTGCCCTTACTGATCCCCAAGTGAAGCTCCAACTGAGTCCCCAATTGAGTCCCCAAGTGAATCTTCAACTGTATCCCCAAATGAGTTTCCAGCTGAATCAACAAGTGAATCTTCAACTGAATGCCCAACTGAATCCTCAACTAAATCCTAAATTGGATCAACTGAACTTCCAAATGAATTCCCAGCTGGATCCCCAAACAATTCTTCTAATGAGTCCCCACCTGAATCCCCAAGTGAATCAACTTAACGCACAACTGAATATGCATCTGAATACTGAAATAAATCAACTGAACCCTCAAATGAATCCCCATTTGAATTCCCCACTGATTCCCCTCTTTAACCTCCGACTGGATCAACTCACTATTGGCTTCTTGCAATCCCCGTCACCTTCTAGGCAGTTGTCCTCCCTGACAGGGGAGCAGTTGATCTGCTTGGACAGAGACACCAGCAGAACGAAGATGGATGTGAAGCGCAGGAACACTGTCCTGGAAAAGACAAGGCAAGGACAAGCTCATTGGGCCTCACTCGGCAAATCGGACCACAACGTGACCATTCATCGTCGTCGCCGCATCTGGATGCTCCTATAATGCTTATCGTTATCCTTTTTATTGTTATCCTCATCATTATTCCTCTTACCTTTATTCTTATCGGCATCCTTATAATTATGATCATCCTTCTTGATGTTATCCTTTGTGTCATCATCTCAGTGCTTCCCATTTACATGATGCTCACTCAAAGTTGAAGCCAGTTTGACATGGTTTCTTTATTACTTGGTACTAATCTCCATATTTGTTGCATGAACATAACCCCGTACTAATTACCCAAGATATTTGCTGCTGAGGAAAAATTCAAAAGCTTGTTCCCCTTTCCTTCTGAAAATAGAGCCTCACATTTGCATCTTAAAAAATAAAAAAAAAACAGACATCTTGTTTTAACTGTGACTTCATTATTACTGCAATTATTCATTCATTGGTTTGTTAAACATGCACCAGTGACTATTATTTCCCGCACCTTGATAACATAGACACATCAAAACAGCATAGCGTGTATTACAACCCGTTTGGCAATACAGGGTCGAACAGTGCATGAGTTCTGGAGCAAGTTACCAGCTACTGCTGACCGCAAACACTGCCATGCCATACAACACAACTATTAACAAGGATTAGTAGAAGGAAGTTTTTAAAGCTGTGCAAGACAGCTTCACAGATATTATCAGCTTTACATATTTAGAATTATTAATCAGCATTTCATTCCCTGTAAGAGTAGTTTCACTGCACTGAAAGGGTGCTACATCATGAATGTACCTCACCAGACCTACTTCAAAGTTGAATGAACATATTACCCCCTTGGATTCATAATTTTTTAAGTTTTAAAGCTTGTATGCTCTAAGTACCAGCTTATACGCTCTAAGTATAGCAAATCTTAAAACATAACGCATTTTACAAGTGATCAAATCGATTCTACAGGAAGTCACATTCAATTCAAAATTATTCAACCAAATCACTATTCACTTCAAATTCGCTTCGAACCTAAAATATCATCTGTGTCCTTCCAACCCTTGTCCTATGTTGCACTGTTGCCAGTATAAGATATACTATTTGCACAAAGCTAACGTACACAGTTGCAAGGCGCACACTAGCTATCAAGAAAACTTGTGGGACAGATCTGTGTCCACTCCCATAAATGAAATGATGACATTCCCCGATGCATCTCGAGGGTTACCTGAGCAAGGTTAGCTTGACCTGATATGCAACCGAGTAGTTCTCCAGCCGAATAAGCTTGGAGAAAAGTGCAGGTACTATGATGTTGAGGCCCGTGATGACCAGCGAAGGCACGAACTGAATCACCAGTGCGAGGGTCTTGTGGGTGGTCTGGGCCTGAGATTGCCTCTGGGAAAAAAGCAGAGAAAACACATCAGCTGGGTTTGCAGCGACAAAATGAGGTGACGAGATGACTGCCCAGTTGCTTAGGCTAACCGGATAATCGGGACAGGCAACACAAATTTTTCTTTAAAAAATAAAGACGCACCTACAGAAGTTTTAATGCAAAAGAAAAAAGTGCCTTAGAATATTCCAGTTACACAAAGGTAAGAGTACAAAACACAGATGTTAGAGGACTGAAGGAAGCCCTAATGGAGACAATGTATGGTCATCTGTTCATTTGTGTCAGAAAAATATATTGTCAGTTTAGAATGAATAGCTTGTGCAAGTAGTATAACAAAAAAGAGTGTACATATGCAATCAGTACTTTCTTAGTCCTTAACCAGTGAGTGATAGCACATTTCACCAATTTCATCTTATTCACAGTAACTCTTTCTTCACCTAATCGGCGACACATGCCATCTGGACAGACAATGTAAGCCGAGTCTAACATGGAGAAAAATGAGCCCATAAATTTCCTCCTTTTGGTACATTGCAATGGTTGTTCACGGTGAAATTTCAGCACGCACTTAAGATACAGACACAGTGATACTGACAAATAAACGAGGGTTCAGAAGTCATGACAATCTGACCAAGTAAGACAAGCAACTGACCTGAAATGAGAATTTGGTTGCATGGTAGACAGCAAAAAGAGAGCCCACCACGACGGCAACCACTAAAGGTTGACCAAGAGTCGCACAATGAAGAGGCCAACTTTCTTGCTCCGAGTCCAGCTGGCAATCTCTGCTCTGCGCCGCTCCTCAGCCAGGTCACTCTGTTGAAAAAACTTACTAGCTCAATTGATTATTTCACTTATTCTTCATTCACCAATCATTTTACTTTTGTCATCCATTACTGATGGGTTAACATTACCGATGAGTGAGGGTTGAAGGAGGAGGAGGAGACATTGAGGAGAGGAAAAAGCCACACTTTCTTTCCTCAACCTCTCTTCCTCCTCCAACCCTCATTCATCAGAAATGTTGACCCATCAGTAATCGATGACATGAGCAGCGAGACGACTGTGGCCCTATATATTTGAATGCCCATGTCAGGAAAGAGCAGCTGACAGCTGTCAGTTTGTCTTGTAGTTTCCTTTGTCTTGTCCCCTTGTTTTCTACACAATTTTTTCATCATGATTTACCAACTCGCCCGAAGTCTATCCCACTAAGATTCAGTGTTATGGCTGGTGCTTTCCTGTTTGTCTCTTTTAGATGACAACATTGCAGAACACACCGGTGTCACTACAAATTAAGCACTGCATCGAACCCACATAAAACCTCTTTGTTGATGAAAAATTCATCACAGTCCCTAATTAGTTTATTTCTTCGTGAAGTAAGAAGGCCTTATTTTTGTCAGAATTCCACACAGATTTATTGACTGATTGGTTTTCAACGTAGTTTCACACTACAAGCAGGTGAATTGAAATTTACTTTCACAAGCTTTCCCTTCCCTTTTTGCACAGCTAGACCTGGATACAACAAAATGGACGAATTCCCGGAAAAATAAGATCTCGTTAATGGTAGTGCATTACAAAAATTCAAAAAAAAAACTCACAAACTAAACAAAAGGAGACCTGAAGGCAGAGCTAAACCAAAACACTCATTTGGCGTCTTAAAATGCGTTATTATTGAGAAAGCACTTGTTTGGACACTCACGGCAGTTGTTTGCCACCACCACCACGTTCGGTAACAAGTACAAATTGATAACCTACCTCATCCATCGTAACTTTAGGACCATGTAAAAGCGCATGAGTGCTGTTTAAGCAGAGATCAAACGAGCTGGCCCTTTTTAATTGCCTGGAGGGTGCATACGATAACATCTCCCCACGTGTTAGAACTGTCGTCGAATGCTCAAACAGAAAGGAAACCACCCATCTTGAATGAGCATAAAACAAACGTGGGGGGTAAATGTCGGTCGAGTAGCAACGATGAACTTTGATTTTGAGGGTGCGATCGCTGGCACGCACGCTATCTTGGCAAGCATCAGCGTGCTTTCAACACAAAAAGACTTTGTGAAAAGAGCACTTCTCCCAGAAGAAGCCGTGTTTGCTTACACCAATATTTTATAGGAGTTACGCGATACCGAATCCAAAAGAGTTGGCTGCCAGCCTTACTACGTGTAACATCGAAATTTGTTGCTAGTGCATTTATTGCATTGCATTCAACATGCCGGTGTATTGTTGCCAGAGCTATTCGGCTAATCGCAAAGGCTAGCTACAGTCCCGTGAACTACGGCTACCGTCCCCCCAAAGACGGAAGCACATGACAGGTTGAACTCTAAAGATCTGTTGTTGTCACGGTGGTCTCGGAGAGTTTCCATCAGCGCTTAATCTGACATTACCTCGGTAGTGGCCACCTGGCTGTCCGCATAAAAAAAAGCAAAGCTTAACGTCGTCAGGGGCCATGTACACCATGCGTGCGCAATGAAACCATGCACGCATGCACGGCATCGAAAACGAAGTGTGAACGACACAGGAAACCGCGGAAATTTATTCTGTAAAGCGCAGTACAGCTATATGCAGTGCGGCCCCACACATGTGACGCTAACTAAAAGTGTGGCACTGCAAATACAAAATCTTTTTTTTTTTTCCTTTTAGTGTGGAGGGAGGGGGAGGGCACATGCGCCCGCGGCAGCAAGAACGGCGGCAAGAACGGCGGCAACGCCGGCTCGTGAGGCACAGGCCCACGTGCTGCTTCCTCGCGTGGGAGTCGCCGGGACCATAAGTGCACCGTGCACACCACCGCTGCTTCGCACTTCGGCGGCAGCAGGGCAACTGCGGAAGATGCGTGCTTGTGCCAAAATGAAAAAATCCAGGATAAAATTCCTAGATTTTTCGTGGCGAAAACTTTGTTATATCAAGGATGTCTCTTGTAGTTACTTTGCTACATAGAAGTCGCAAAATACATGTGCTTCTATGGAGTAACAACGGGGAATATAAAACTTTGTTATATTGAGGAATTCGTTATGGGGGTTCATTAACTGTGCTTCCAAAGAACTCATTTGCCAATTATAGTTCTTCTATCATTACCATAATACAAGTATGATAAAAAGTTATAATAGGAGATATATAATAAAAAGCTCCCTTATGTGAAAGCAGTCACACAAGAGAAATAGAAAATGTCTACCTTGAGCTCCTGAACGATGCTGACATGCTTCAGTCGTGCAGTTCGTTCGTCGGTGATGCAGAAGTCCCACGAGGCAAACACCATGTTGCAGTACCGGTGCAGCTTCCCTTCCGACACCAGCAGCGACTCCCGAACTCCAGCTGTTGTGCTGCACACAATGTGTTGCTGCTTCGCATGCATGCCACAATGTGTAATGTCTAGAGCAATTAAATTGATTTGTTCCAATGCGCAAATCAGGAAGCAGGGCACCTCAGAAGAACAAGCATGCAAAAAAAAATGGGACAGCTACACACTAACAGTTGGAAGAGTGAGGAACTGGTGGCACTACCCTCTTTCCCCTCCTCACCATCACTTCCCTTTCCCTTACTTTGCTATACTAACAGGAATGAAACAGCAGAAATAGAATTTGGAGAAATTTTTGGAGCAGCAGAAAGTTACTTTTGGAGCACTAATATACCAATTTGGAGCAGGTTGCGGCAAAAAAAAATATTTATTTTGTTGTCACGGCAGACCAAATTTCGAGCATTACGAAAAAAAGGCTTACAGTTAGAATTTTAAAAATATGTACAAACCATTCAACATCCCCTAGACCGTGCAGAATGAACATGAGCACTGTTATTTCAATAAAAGTCGCATTTCAAACTACCCCACTGAGCAAACAATGATAAAGCCCACACTAGCGTTTTCCATGCTTATGAAATTCTTTGACGACCTCTGAGAATTAAAATAAGGATCTGCCAAGCTGGCTACCTTGAGATTCGTAAAACTAAGGAATAGAGATAATGCAAAAAAATATGCACAGTTTTATTTTATTATTTAGGGCTACAGAAATGTCACGCAGTGCTCCAAATGAATGCCAGTAACTTTTTTGCTCATCAGCGATCATATTAGTACTACCCATAATTATGCAGCATATACATTCTTGAGTCCTTGAACCTACTGTGCTGTGTCCTGTGACTTGTGCTAACATCCAAATCTTAAAACGCTTTTCCGCAGGCCACCGGTATACTGCAGCAAAGGTGTTGTAAGTGGCGTTTTGCACGGATTAGAATAAGGCCAAGAAATCTACTCCACCCCCCCCCCCCCCCCCCTTTTTTTTTTTATGACGGTGTTCGGGGCAAAACTTCTCGGTTTGCTTGCAAAGCGTCTTTCACTAGATAAAGTAACAACGACACGCACCCGTTGCCCCAGCGACAGCACCGGATATTTATCGCATGTGCTGTTGCTCCGGCAGCAACGTGGTTGCCGGCAATGCCGGCAGTTGTCGCACGTTGAGTTTGTTCGCATGCAGTAAAAGCGGCATACACTTCCGACTTTAATTGGTAACGTGCCATGGCTGTGTGTGCTCACTCGGAAATCCACACTTCCCGCGACGCGTCGCTGGCTACAGCAACTCATATTTGTCTTGAAGTTGCGCCCTTCCACCGACAGATCATGCAATAGATATCTGCTGCATTCAGCAGACAGATGGGTTCAGGGCGTTGTTACTTTACTTGTCGATTTCGTCAACCACGTTTCGCAAGTGTCCTGGCCTAATGAGTATTTATCTTGCACCGTGGTTTATAATTAGGGTCTGCGCACCCGAATCCCTAGATTCATTGATGATGCAAACTACAGGTGGCCAATGTAACCTCCATTTCTTGGTGAAATTAGCGGAACTAAGAACACTGTGAGGCTGATCAGGCTTTTTGGTGCAGTGTGGCACAATTTCGGCAAATTTTGTGGTTTTGGGGCAGCACGGCACAAAAATTAGGAATTGTATCAAATTGGTGCAATCGGCGCAGCTGTTGCACCCCTGTACTGCTATACTTTGCCCTCACCTCCTCCATTCTCTCCTCCTCACCTTTATTTCCCTTTCCCTCCTCTTGCTATACTACACTTTGTGAAGACTGTGCTAAATGTTGCCCTCTCACATCCTCCTTACCTTCACTTCTTCACTCCCCTTGTTATACTATCCTATGCAAGATTTACATACTTTACCCTCTTGTTCACTTACCTTTCCCTCTCCTTTTAAGTCCTGTGTGTACTACACAGTACTTATAAGCCTCGCCCTCTCATCTCTTTATTACCCTTAATTCTCTCTCCTTGCTATGCACGCAAACCTCATATCCTCATATTAACAGTCACACCTGCCACAAAATAGTTAGTTATATGCAAAAATTTGTTATAAACATATATTTTTAGCACTGTATCTATGACAGAGCTGTTCTACATTTACTTCGTTATAATCAATAATTCCTTATACCTCGGTTCATTATATCTCGGTTCATTATATTGAGGTGTGAGTGTACTATACTATACATGAGTATGCTTGTACTTTACCCTAGTCACCTCATTTGCTTTCTCGTTCCGACTCGCTTTCCTTACCCTCTCATTGCTATACTATACTACATGTGGCTATGCTTGCTCAACTTTTTTGTTCTTTTTTTCTTCTCTCTCTTCTCTCTTTCTCTCTCCATGCTCACGCTCTTTCTTGTTTCAACACTTGCTCTGGCATCTTAGTTGGGCAGTATACACTTAACAGCTCCACTGACATGAAGCGCCGGTGTTTTCCATAAGACACGTCAATAGCAAAGAGGATAGCATCCAGTGCCCCCTGCAGACAGCACCCATGGCAGAAACAGAGCTTTGCAGAGCCAAAAAGCCTTCTTATTTGCCACTCGGAGAAGGACTGTGGCTCTCGCAGGCTAGCATGTATTCTCGTGAGCTTTTCCTGAGCAAACGCACAGTCTTATTTGCCACGTGCTTGTCATGAGCAAGCAACAACTGGGGTTGCAGATGCAGTGTTGGCGTTTAACAATAAGGCTCTATGGGCACCTCACCGATGGCTAATCGGTGGTCAAAAGTGGTTTTCCAAAAAGTCGTCAGAGCACCGATTCCAATCGCTGCTACTGATCCGCGGCGCTCAAAGATGTTTGTTTTAAGTACGATTTTGTGCCATTTAAATAATGTATATTTCCACAGTCACATGGGTATCAATCGTTTTTTAAGTGAAAGTTCGTTTTAAGTGGGGCCGTTATATGTGGGTGATGGCCGATAGATCACAGCACCAGAGTTCCCTATAGTTAATATTGCTAAACTGTTCAGTAATTTGCTGCAATGTCAGAACAAGAGTAAAGCAATACTCACTATCGAACCATAAGAAGCAGGCAGAGCACGAAGCAGGCAACATTGGTCAACACGTAGGCCAGGGGAAAATTGTAGCGAAGCTTGGTGCCTGCGATGTGGTCAACGGAGTTGATGTAGCGACCAGCAAACAGGGCTGTCAGTTCCAACCAACCCTGAAATGCGAAAAGTTGAAGAGTCAAGCCAAACTACCGTCAAATTCTGAGCAAGTGCCCCGCCTTGAACAACTCAACAATACCGGCAAAACGGGTGGGGCGGAGGTACTCTCTGGAAACGGCACGAAAATTCAAGAATGCGGAGGCAAGCCATAAAAAAATAAACGAGTCCACATGTACTTCATCAGAAATCTCCTGGCTTTTATCCTGGCTTTTATCCTGGCTTTTATCCTGGCTTTCATTGATGCCAAGAGACCTTAAAATGATTAAAAAACCACAGGCCTGCACAGGAAGTGCAATATAGTCATAGCGAGAGCTTTGGTTTTTACAGCCCATAGTAAACTCTCTAGGGGCTACTTATACAAGTACACTTGCAAGGAACTACTATGCCATAAATCATTTTTTTTTGTTTTTCAAGCTAGAAAACACCCACTGCGCCACTATTACTCATCCTGTAGAAAAGCAAGGTAACACTCAGGCACTTGCAAGGTGTTATGGTGCGCACTTAGTTGATGCATCAGCTGAGAAAGATGAATTATGGCTGAGTCTTTTATAATGGGTTGAAAGCATTTAACAACCCACTCTTTAAGCAATTCCCATTGTGTGATGCCTGGTTGTTCTTTTACTCTTCTACCATGCTATGTTACAAATGATAAGATTGTTCACTCCTGACATGATGCCTAAATAGTTTTTTTGCATGCCGACATAGCTCTAAGCTAGAACACTGGGCTGCTACTGAAATGCCCCAGGTTCGAACCCAGTTCCATCCTGAATTCTTCGCATTTATTTTTTTTCTTAATTTGCACAATAGCAGCTACATATGCCACTGCCACAAACAGTTCCTGTTGCAATCTCACTGTAAAAGACAAAGCCAACACAATTAGACCAAGGCAACCGTGGTAATGAAGCACCTCTGTGGTGAGCACACACCAATGAACATCTCTCGGCAACAGGCACAGATCTCCACGGCCTTACTTTTGCTAATTAGTCTCTCACATACACCATCGGCAAATTGCAAATACAGGTGACCATGCACTTGCTTGCAACAACCTGAAAATCGTCACGGGTGGAGTGTGCCATGTTCTCAGTACTATCGCGGCACAAAAAAATGAAAAAAAAAACAGAAACAACTTTGATGACAAAATTCAGGCATAGGCACTTCAAGATCAGGCCGTACACAGTGCGTGATCAGTGTGTGGAGCACTAGAAGGGGGGGGGGGGGGGGAATTTTTCAGAAAGGTGCATAAACTTGAAATTAGCTGCGATATTGTAGGAGGCACTTGCTCAGAATTTTGGGGCAGGTTTTAAGAAGCACACTGTTTAGACTTTTCAGGATTCATTGTAATCAACCAATTTCTTGTGCGCTTTCATAATTTGCCTGTCACTCTTTCAACAGGAAAAATAGTCCACTTGTTTTCGCAGTTCTAAGCGTAAAGGAAATCCAAATAGACTGTTGTAGATTGGGGGGTAAAGTATAGCGCTGTCATAAACCGGCATTGAACGCAGGCACGACAACACGCTGTTGTGGGCCAATACGTTTATGGTGGAATCAAAACATGTCACGTACCTCAAAGCACATGTTTGCATTTGGATATTTCTTCAGGTTACTCTACCAACTTTGCCAATGCCTAATTCAGCCACTACTTTCACCCTTGCATTTAAGGTGCAAGATTGAAAGTAGCGGGCGTGTGTACCAGTACTTAAACATCTTTAAAACAGTGCAACAAAGAGAATGAAAGAGAAAAGAGAGACAAACCACAGGGCTGTACCACAGGTTGCAAACATTTAAATTTCCAGCTCTTTACATCTTTCCAAATTAAAAAAAAATTCCTTGAACACTTTGAAAAGCTTTGTACACAGTTGTGTACACAGCATACTTGAGCTAGTTGCATGTACTAGTTGCTAAAAAAGAGCAAGACACATTCACGTTAGGAGAATTAAACTTTCCGCGCAATACGTGTGTCTTCACTTAACTGAATTTCGCATCGTACAGTTGTATACGATAGTTTTGCTGCAAGCACTACTATGTTTGATAGGCCGTTCGACGTGCCACTTTCCACAAGCTACGACAAAAGCCTTTTTTTTTTTTTTGCTCAGGACCGATATGACTGGAAACGAAATTGAATAATAGCTCTAGTTCCTGAGGTTTGCTCCTATTTACGTTCGTTGCCATGGTGAAACAGTTGCAGTGCTTAGCTGCCGGCACGAAGGTCGCAGGTTCGTTCCGAGAGACAACTGTTGCGTTTCGATGAAGGCAAAGTGGTAGAGGCCCTTGTGCTGTGTGATGTCAGTGTACATTAAAGAACACCAGATGATGAAAATTTCTGGAGCCCTCTACTAGGGCGCCCATCATAATCATATTGTTTTGTGACGTCAAAGCCCAGATATTATTTGATTTTAGTTCAAGGTGCAATGAAAACTCCTCAGGAAAGGAGGGTGCACTAAATAAAACAGGAACTCGCCTTATCCAAAAGCACTTGCCTTTTTCTTCATACAAGGTGAGTGCCTGATTTATTTCTAAAATTATTTGATCCTATTATACAAACACAGAACAAGAGAACATGAATGACTTCAGAATAAATAGTTCATTACAACTTAATTAAGATTAGTTACTATCAAATAGACAAAATCAAAGTATGACGTTATTCTTGTTGCAATCGACCATAAAATGTTTAACGGTTTTTTTTTTTTTTTTTTTTTTGCTGCTGCAATGTGTTGCTGGGGGCCTGTTAGTCATAATACGGCGCAATCGTTTGCTGCAATGCATGACAAACAATTAATTACAGGCTCCGCTACCAATCTTGTCTCGATTTCGGTTTGAGCGAGCTCCAACAACGACAAGCCGCCGGATGCGACTATCACCTAGTGTATGCGACGGCAGACCGTGTCGGCACACAAAAGTGATGCACTTTTGCACGGTCTGTGTCAAGAATTCTTTTTAAACAGAAAATGGGACGGCAGGGTCATCAAGCACAAAACTTTCAATGCATGCACCACGAGCACGGACACGCGAGCAGCTGCCGAGAAGTAGTCTGCTGGCACTAACGCAACAAAAGAGAAATGGCAGCTATGGCGTCATCATAACTTGTATCAGCTGCAGCATGGCGACGTGAGGTAGGTAAAGTGGGTCACCGTCGAGTCACTTTAGAGAGTGTCAAAGCCGCAATGAGGTGCAGCTCACAATGCTCAATCCCGCACGCAAACTTCAAATTCATATAAAATACTCTCAAAGCCACTTTTGGTGTTAATACTTTGCAGATGATATATGCACGCTCATGGGAACGGATACCACTAGCTACCTCACCCGCGAAAATTTTGTGTCAGTACCCCTTAAAATTTTATGCATTTGCAGATGATTCCTCATTGGTCACGCTTTAAAGGGATATATACCATGCTTCAACTTTGCATTTTATAGCTTTTTAAATGTTAGTACTAGTCGCTGATGCTTCTGATGCTTTGAAAGCAATTAAAGCTAACTTCACTAATTAGCAAGTTTTTCACACAATTTGTAGGACAGCAAAGAGCTCACCGTTCCTTGGAGGAAGTCCTGGAGCGGTGAGATGCCCCCCTTGGTCTGGCTGGTCACCAGAAGGTAGTATTCGTCATAGCACTGCTGCATCTTCTTCAAGGTGCGGTTGCCAGGTTCCCAGATATCGCTCATTGCTTCTTCCTAGGCATATGAATAACATGTTAAATAAAAATTGCTTTCATTTTTAGCTGTAAGTAGTAACCTTTAAATTATTCTGTAGTTAAATTATCTAAAATTCAACTTTAATGCATACTTTTACGTATGTTGCGAATTCTCTATATGCCACAGAAGCGAGGATGTTGCAACAAAAAAACGTACTTCAGAACTACATAATATGCTGTGTGTTACCGCTTCAGTGTGCACACTCCAAATAAACAAAATTATTGAAGATAGAAAATACGTCACCAAGACGAGACAAAACGAAGAAGTGAGAATTGTTGCACGCACTTCGCACTCTCCTCCATAGCTCCAAAGCAATTGGTTTTAGCCTAAAATACCTTGGACAAGACTGCACTAGGTTTTTAATGCTTAAGGCTACATGTCCCGTGAGTAGTAGGCAGCCGGCAATTAAGGTGGCGCACATTTCGCGTCTTACTTGCTCGAATTTTTTTGGTATGTCGGGAATTCGCGACATCGGGCAGTAAGGGGTTAAATGTCTTTTTTACATGCATTGTTGAAACAAGCACAATGAGTTTTCAAAAAGACAAAGGGATTGCTCACTCACGGAAAGCTGGTTTGGTCGAGACAGCCTTACTGACCATGCCATTGTTGATGGCAGTGTCGGCACGCTGAAAGTGAAGTCACTGTCATGAGAACGTGGCAAAATCACCTTTCACTTTGCTAAATAAATAGTATTGCTGATATCAGTAGGCACAAGAAAGCACGCAAAAATGATAGCAGTTCAACTGCGAAGTGGGACAGTATGAGCTGTTCGAGCAGTTCGAGTAGGATCTACAAGCAGTTAAACTTACAAGTGGAAATTTCAAGATGGCCTCGCTACCAACTTTTTTTTTTTTGCACATTTTCTCACTTACCAATCGTCTCCTCGTCGCACGCATGTTGATTTTGGCATAGTAAAGGAGTACTTTACTAATATGAGAAAAGCTGCTTTTCTCTTCAGTGTCCCTTTACTTTTCACTACCCGTCCATCTCACCCTGTAACTGAAGTGGAGGCCATAGTTTCATTTGGCTCGAACACAGTCGGCAGAATCCAGTGCGGGGTGACAATGAACAGTGCCGGCAGCACGAACATGAGAACGTTAAGCAGCAGTAGCCAGCGCAGGAAAAGGAAGTACGACACCACCCCAGTGCCAAAGTGACCTGCAACAAACAGAGCCTCTTTCACATCTTGGCCCACTGACAAGAATAGAAACACATGGGAATTCCGCAAAGTGGTACCGACACCAATTTTCGAAGCTGTGTCAACTCTCAACTCTGACAAACAAATCTCTTCAGAGCAGAGGTGGCTCCGAGCAAGTGCTTAGCAAATTCTGACAAGATATTCAATTTTGACATTTCCTCATGGTGCACCTACCAACATCAACACTATGCAAACGTCAGTCTACAGTATCACTTCTGGTGACATACGGTCATTCTATTGCTATCGGCATTTCCAAAATAGCCACCCTCTACGTGCGTCGGCATGGCGCGTCGGCCATTTCTGCCTATGTGTTTCCCATGTGCGGCACTTCGTACGTGTGCTGAGGAGTTCGTCAGTATGGTGTGGGTATGGTGACGTCAGGTGCCAAAGCATTCAAAAGAGACACATGTGCATCACCAACGGAGTCGGGAAGCAGAGTGGTTTTGTAAACATCACGACATCTAACACAAGCATTTGACGATAAGCTCATATTGTGTACTGAAGTCGGGGTACAACAGAAACTGCAACTAGATTTAAAAAACACTTTGTAATAAATTTCTCAGGATGCACTTAGTCTTACGAGAAGATTTTGTAAACTCTTGAGAGATTAGGCTTTGATGCGAAATGTTTGGAAACTTTTGTGTCAGTACCTCCTTAAAGGAGTACTCACACTAAATTTTGAAGGCGAGATAATTTGTGATACAGATTTGCATAGGCGCATATACATTTATTATTACTGGCTAATGTAGCATAGACTATTTAAAATTAATCTTAGAGTGCATGCCATGAAAATGAACACAACTGTACTTTTTACTCTCAATGCAACATATGGATGCAGCATATGCATCTAATACAATATTTTTTGTATTTGACCTTCCTAGATACAATAAAAGCAGAACATCAAGATCACGCAAGCACCAGCGCTGCGTACTGTATCTTTGCTGACCCTTAGTTTGCGCTTTCTGTCACTGAGTCATCCTTATGCATGTGCACAAGTTCTCTGACCTCCCGGGATGCAATGGAAAAGACGGTTCTTGGGAAAGATGGAGTGATTGAAAGAATGTTGCCCCTAGAGCAAGTGCGTACCTTCAATGGTTTTGAGTGAACTTGACCACATCGTGAGCCACGCAGTGATGTCCCTGCCAAGTTCTGAGGCTTTCTTCATTGCCTGAAAAACAGAAGAGTAATTGTGCAAGTCGCCAGAAAGAAATGTCGCCAGGCAACAGCTCAGTCACGAGCACCTCAAGAAATTTACTCACTTTGTTGGGATACAAACTATTCGTGTCTATAGAAGCCAAGCAGTGATTAACAGAACCTCAGCAAGCACGCTATCTAAGCTGCTTAATTACTAAAATTAAGGGCCTTGTGACATCATAAACCGCATAAGCAGGTGCTACACTTGAAAGAATTATGGTAGCAAACTTCAATGTGAATTGTTACTAGTAAGCATTAGGTTGACTACTGAAATTGCAGTTTCTTTGAAGCATATAAATAATGAAATAAAAGGAAATCAATGTGCACCCAAAAAAACTGCGGCCCTAAGAATGAGAGAGAGATAGGTTAATTTACAGAAAGGCAGAGAGGTCGGCCTGAGTGATAGCTTGCTCTAGCCTGCTACTCTACACTGGGGGAGGGAAAAGGGGAAAAGAAAGATAATGGATGACGATGGTGAGATATAAAGGTGAGTATGTAGTATTCTTTCTAGCTGAGACAAATTTTATAGCTGTGCATATAGTCTGGTTGTTTCCAAAAAGGTTGTGTGTAACCGGTCTTATGACCAATATTGCACTGTTGGTGTCTGGCCAAGGGCCCAACACAGTCTCATCAGTTAATGAGCTACTGCAGTGAAGCCACACAACCTTTGCACAGCACATGCACTACAATCTGTGCTATCATGGTATCTACAGTCACGTTTTATTAGATATTGCAAGTTATTAGGTATTGCAAGGAGGTTGCAAGTTCCACTCTCATCAGTGACAATTTTTACTGCCACTTTCAACCCTTTTTGGCTTACAAGTTCCTCACATCAATTTAAGCTAGGCAAAACTTTCCCTACGCATAAATCGCCTTCCTTGTCGGCAGGCGTCATACCGCACACATTTTGCACTAATAAAGAACACTAAAAGTAAGCTATCAAACCTTGAAGCTCTTCAAGTTCCAGGCATCGAATTTCTCCCCTTCATGTGGTGGCGACCTCTGCAGTTGATTTCTGCAAATTAAAGTATGCGGTATAAGCAGTGAATTGGCACAGTAAGCTGCCCAATTGGAGGTAAACAGCAGCATATATACCTATATATACTTGGTCACTAGCGATCCCACAGAACGATTTAATATTAGAAATGTATTTCTTGACATCAATGAGTTGAATGTAAACGATGGTGTAGGGGCTTATACTCTGTGTGAAAAGATTCACAATGCACGATGAACAGACCAAGTACCAATGGCACGTGCCCTTTAGTCTTTCAACAGCAATAACTTGGCAGGAAGACACAACTTCTAGACAGGGATTCATATTCAAAGAAAAGCGGCGCACAAAAAAGACGGAGACAAAGAAGAGAACCACACACAGCGCTGCACTCACAACTGAAAGTTTAATCCGAGCAACAAGAATTTAAAAAGTAATAGCCACGCATGACAAGTGAGGTACAACGAGATTAAGTGATACGCTCATCAATAAAAGTGAACTCTTTTTTGTGCAATGTAACCGAGGTCTGGCTTACGCAAGCATCACGTGACTTGTTAATATGATAGGCTTCAGACACCTCACGGGTGAATTGATCGTGGTGCTTAAAAATAATAACAGTGTTAGACAGAAGAGGTGTGCGGAAATCCTAAGCGGAACTGTGATGCATATTTTCCAATATGTGGACGATTTTTTAGTTGTTGTAAAGGATGCCACGTTCCCGGATAATGTTTCCGATGTGTTGAAGGTGTTCACGACAGAAGGAATGGGTCTGTCCTTCACATCGGAGGTTCCAGAATCTGACTGTCTACAATTTCTTGATCTTAAACTTCGGTTTCAGAGTTCCCATATTTGCTGGTGTTTTGAGCCACGATCAGTGAAACCAATTCTTAATTTTGGATCAGCCCACTCAAAGGTGGTAAAGAGGGGCATCGCTTTCACCTGCCTTAAATCCGCTCTAGAAAAATCGTGCAGGCATATGTTGGGCTCTGGTTTTGCTAAGCAAGTTGCAAGACTAGAGGAAGCAGGGTTCCCCCCTAACATAATTGTGGCTGTTTGCGATAAGTTAATTGGTGGTTTAAAAGGACGTGCAGCTAGGAAAATCAATCGGGAAAAAATGAAGTTCGCAGTAATTCCTTATATGCATAAACTGGCACATGGGTTAAAAATGTTGGTTCCCGCTACGGAGCTGATGTGGTTTTTAGGGCACCCAATAAATTGGGAAAGATATGTGCTTTGGTGTCCAATCAGCTAGACAAGAAGGACAAGCCAGATGTAAAGAAATGTGCCGTAAACCATAGATATAAGTATGTGCCTTGTGCTGTGGGGGTGGTGTACCGCATTCTTTTATCTTGTGGCCTTCATTATGTGGGACAGACGGGCCGCTGTATCAATAAAAGGTTGCGGGAGCACTATCTCTCTTTGCATAACGGCACGCCTTCCCATTTAGCTTCGCATTGTGCCACGTGTGGGTGCACACCTCTTCTGTCTAACACTGTTATTATTTTTAAGCACCACGATCAATTCACCCGTGAGGTGTCTGAAGCCTATCATATTAACAAGTCACGTGATGCTTGCGTAAGCCAGACCTCGGTTACATTGCACAAAAAAGAGTTCACTTTTATTGATGAGCGTATCACTTAATCTCGTTGTACCTCACTTGTCATGCGCGGCTATTACTTTTTAAATTCTTGTTGCTCGGATTAAACTTTCAGTTGTGAGTGCAGCGCTGTGTGTGGTTCTCTTCTTTGTCTCCGTCTTTTTTGTGCGCCGCTTTTCTTTGAATATGAATACACACCAACTCGCCCAACTTTCTATTCTATTCTAGACAGGGACGTTCATTTTTTTTTCTACGTTGCGATATAGACACTCTTAAGGAACACTAAATAGAAAAACAAGTTTTCTCGTAGTGGCAAATCACTCTTTCACAATATTAAAATCACCACGCGTACTGCGAGAAGAAACTTGGTAAGTAAGAAAATGCGAGAGAAGAAAATGTGGGTGGCAACACGACTTCACAATTCGCGCACCAAACGTTGCGATGTCGCAGGCTTTGACGGTGTCTACTAGGGTCAACCTAGTTCTTAAGTGGTAAAGATGAAGTAAAAAGTCCCCTGAGGAGGCCATAAACATAAGAAATCAAGTTTCAGAAAATTTTATTATGCCAATGATAAAAAAAACCAACATGTGCAATGATCTTGATGCAAAGTTTAAAAAATTAAATGTTTTCCTTTATTAATAAACCTATCATGGTGAAAATCTCACCAGTGTTTTCAGAGCACAACATGTCAATCGAAAAAAGATTCATAGCTTCACTTTAGTATCCCTTTCAGGCATATTACTTTGTGCGTATGTACACGAGTATTCACTGTGTACCATAACATCGAAGTTGTGTGTGAGGTTTGATATACCATTGCTCTTACAACCAGCACTTTGCAGGAAAACAAAGTTCAATGATAGACAAGCGCATGCCAGCAACGCAGCATGACCAAACAGTTGTCAGGTACACGTTAAATACAGGTGCCTCTGTTTCTCCGACGGTGAGCTACTATCACCATGCCACTCATTCATCCCACACTGTCCTACAAAGTGACAGCTGCTGTAGGATAAAAAGACAAAGGATTTTTGGTCTTTGGATTTGCAGCAATCAATAGGATGACGCAACTTCAAAGGAAAAAGCTTTTACCTTTTGTTACATCACCCTGCCAACAGATCGCCACAGCTGTTAGAGGACAGAGTGGTGCACGACATTGGTACTTGCCACATCAGTCATCCGTATTGCCTCACAGGCAAGCCATTAAGTTGCCCCTACTTAAAGAGTATAATCTTACACCATGGTGTAAACTCAAGATTACAAGGCACAAGAACACAGCTATCGCTCCAAAGAAGCAAGAAACGTGTTAGGAATACAAGAAGATTGCTAAAAAGCAGGTTACTAATCAATGTCGAAACAAGACAAAATGACATTTTGGGATACATATGGATCTCTGGACACATACGGATCCCGAAACGTCACCTCAAGCACCATCTCTGCATACCTCTTGGCCCAACTTGTGCGCTTAATCTGTCCATGAAACTCCTCTAAAAATTCTTCTGCCTGCTCTTCTACTGCCTTTGCATCTGCTTTCGCTTCTTCCATTCCCATTTCCTCCGCGATCCTCCTCGCATTCTTCATTGTCGCAAACCTGTATGAACCTTCAGACACAAAGGATCCATCAGGCCTCCCTAGTACTCCACATTGTTTTCTCCCGCTTTCTGCACATCGGGGAATTTCGAGAAGACCATCTTTGGTATTACCATTAGGAGAAAATGTTGTTGGTGTCAGTGGCTTACGCTTTAGAATGGTCGTGCCTGAGTGTGCTGCTGCTTCTGGAGTCAGAGCAAGCTGAGAGAGTCTCTCTGCATGTCGCTTCCTAGCAGAACTTTCGTTTAGTTGTGCCGATTTGAACCCCAGGTCAGAGCAGTGCGATGCCCCTCGGTAGTCCTGAACGGCATCTCCACCTCTGTAACTTCCACTCGCAAACCTTCCTGAACTACGATCTGAAAGGCCGTCTACACTGAGCATTTGTTTGCAGTAAGGAGCACGATTGTTACCACTCCTTTCTTCTTGATACAGAAATTCAGCTCGACAGGCATCTTCACTTCCACACATGTCATCACTTTTGTATGCGCTGTTTCTGTACACGTGTGATTCACGTTCACTCCTGTAATGATCAGCCCGTCGTTGCACTGATGGGGTGCCAGTTCTGCGTAACCCACGCTGATGAAAACTCCCAACGGGGCTCTGTTTTTTCTCCATATGCGGTGAACCTTGGTGTGGCAGATATTCATCATCAACCCCTCGCTTACGATAGTACGAGTGTTCTTCACTGTCACTCTTTTCCTGGTTCTATGATAGCCATGATAAGTGTCACGGGTATCATGCCTGTCATCATACTCGTATACACTCTTCCTGGTTCTCTCATGGTGCTGGTCATCATCCCTGTGATAACTGTTGTAGCCCAGCTCTTCAACATCGTCATGACTGTAGCTGCTAGCCTCGTCATGGCTAACATCAGCATGGCGATGCACACGCAGTCTCACTTCTGCGTAGTAGCGATCACTCCCATGGTAGCAATCCCCATTACCCTTACCATATTCTTCTTCACCTCTGTGCTTTCCATTCAACCTGCCACGGTAATCATGAGAAGTTTCAAGGTCATTCCCACGTCCTTCAGGTGTTGAAGAGTGACTGTAACCTTGGCCATGATGATAACCTTTTTCATAGCTCGTTTCAGACTCTGGATATGCTGCTGGTGGACTTGCATGAGCATTGTAGCCTCTATAAAAGCTACCTTCCCTTTGTATTGCCGGCCGTTGACTTCTCGAAGCATTGCAGCCTCTGGCAAAGCTATCTTCCCCTTCTTCGCCTCTTTGTACACTTTGACCACTATCATAACAATTATAAAAGTCAACTGCATAATCACCGTTCTTTTTTCTCACCCCATTGTGGTGACTGCCGCTACCTCTTTGGTTGTGATCGCTGCGTCTTGTCAGCTTTTGCTGGCTGCCGTAAAAGTCATCATCATAGTTGCCATGCCAATCTTGTGATCTGCGCTGACCATTGTTATGATAGCTCTCACCGTCACCACCACGAACATGCCTTTTCCAAGACTGCTGCTTTTCACATCCACTATCTCGATAATAATCATGCTCTCTCACCTTTTCGTCACTTGCACATGCATATATCTCAGGCTCATAACCTCGATTTTCATAGGCATTGTAGTCCCGTCTCGATCCTCGCTTGCGACACTCCCGTTGACTCCATGAATGGTCAGCAGCACCCACGTACGAGTGATCATCGCGCCGTCTTGGATCCTGATATCCACCTTCCTCGTAGCGATGACCGTTCGTCAAACAAGATCGATATTGCCAGAGCCTATCCTCCCTTCTCCGATCCATGAGAAACTGCTTCGCACAGTCCTACAAGCGTAGCATACGGGAACCGTGACAGCTGGGGAATGTGCCAGATGGGCCGCTCAGCACAACGTGCGCTACCCTATCAGACCCAAGAAGATAATGGCCCCTTTGAGAGCTTCAAGCCCCTGACCTGCTCTCCTTGACATATGTGCCGATAAGTGTTCAAAGGTGTCCTCAAACAATGGCAGTGCACTGTCTAAAAGGATATAGCGCACACTTCCAGATAAGGTAACTGCAGGAAGGTATTTCTAGTACTCCATCTACAACTGTGCAGCACGTGATTTCTAGGATAAGGAGCTCGCACAAGCATATGCTGGTATAAGGACAAAAAAGAAGAGAAATAGGCACCCGACTCCTACAAGAATTTCAGTTAGCCCATTTCTTACCTAACAGCAAAAAGCCTAAACTAAGTTTCAAATGTGGAGTTGGAATGCTTGTTTCAAGTGTTTGTGTTACTTTATTAACCAATGGTGTGCGTGTGTGTGTGTGTGTTGTGTTGTGTTTGGGTTAGATTTTATTAACCAATCATTTCGTATTTGGCTTCCTAATAATTATCAACACACCATTACAGATATTGTACTATTCCTGCTTTGTAGTAATCATAACCATAATTTTCTCTTTTCTTTATTTAACCCAACTTCTTTATATGGTCTGTTGGCCCAGAGAGTATCATTATTTAACAATTAATTAATGAACATGGGGCATGTCAGCTCTGGAGTGAAGCCTTCAGTAAAATATTCCCTTCTCAAGTATTTTTCATAAGAGCAGTATTTTGTGACTAAACTGAGAGACTACAAGATACTTACATATAGGTATATTTTAGTCCAATCAACACCCAGGCTAATGTTCAATCAACATCCTCGCTCAGAACAACACACTCCCACAAGCCTGAATGCAACAGTTAAACAACTACAAAAAAACCACCAACAATACTAGTCATTACACAGGCAACTGAGACAGGACTGTACAATTCTGATAAAGGTAGCATGTACTAAGGGTCTACTATACTAAATTTACTGTTAGCGTCTTACAGCATGACTACCCCCAAGGCAACCTGCATTTTCCTTACTTACTAACAAACTCATTATAATATAAGAACCAATTACTGCTTTTAAGCAATCACAAAATTCAGAATCACGCTTCTTAACCATAATAAATGCCTTGATGAGCGTATAACAGATTGTGTTCATACGCATATACAGAAAAGATAAACCTTACTATGGCTCTTTTGTACCCAGATATTCCTAGACTACTGTCTATGCATATACAAAAGCTTCGGTATCACGGTAATTTTGTGGAAACATGGTGTACATTTATATCTTTAAGCTGTGTTGTTACTGTGCACGTTCGTGTGCCCATCTATACATATATGCAATGCCTCTGTACTGTGAATATGATGACCTAGTACAGGCTCACTACAGTTTGACAAATGATAGGTTATCCTACTCCACTGATTTTTGTATTTGATACAAAAACACCGTTTCTCATTGTTATCACTCGCAGTCAGTGCCTGACTAGGATTTCTCACCAAGCACGCTATTTGTCGTACACTCATTAAAACTGAATAAATTTCAAGTTTCAATAATGTGGACTTGTAAACTTCCAATTTGGTTCTGTCTTCCTTTTTCCTTTTTTTTGTTTAGAAAGTACCAGTAGGAAAAATATGATTTACATCAATTAAGCAACCCTGCAAGTACTTTTTTCATATAATAACGGTTGCACACAACTAGATGCACCAAGACGCCACACGAGCAACCAAACTTTGGCCAACAGCAAGCCAGGAGATAAAATTGTGCACACTTCCTCGTGCTTATCTTCGTTTGCCCACTCTCTGCACACATTTCCGATAGCTCTGCCACTTTAAATGGAAGATAAGCGATACTTCCTCGAAGCCAATCAGGCCACACCTATCATAAAAAGAAAGAGTGCAGCTGCCTTGATAATACTCGTGTTTGCAGAATATCACTGTAGACTCAATCAGTGTGTTTAAGCAATGCTGCCCTATTCAAACTTAAAGGAGACCTGCAACACTTTTCGAAGTACTAATCATCAAATCGCTTCATTAAAAGCACTTATTGGCTCACCAATCGATCTTTGCAAAAACTTTCGTAATCTGTCAAGCATGAGCGGTAATACAGGAATTAGCCGCATGCTTCAAGTGCTTTCTCTCTCCTTTCGTGCGCTGAAAGCTACGCAGGGCATGGGATGACAAGGGCAAGAAGATATGTTCCTTCATCAGCGCATGTCATCACAATGAGAACAATCTTTTCATTTTTTTTTTCAAATGTGCAGCTTACTTTTAGTGTGAGCTCGTATGTGGCCATATGGAGGTCAAGATAATTACGTGGCTCACAATGCTCAAATTAGCCGATGCCCACGGACTCTTGCTTATAACAAGGTCTTTTTGTATACATGCCATCCTTGTGAAGAAACGAGGGAACAATTTCTTGCTGACATTGAGAATTAATTGTAAATTACATGTTGCGTGCTGCACTAGGATATTCCATGTAGTGTGCTACACTAGGTTCTTCGACTAGTGAAAAAGTGTTGGACGGCCCCTTTAAAGCCGAATAAATGTTCAAGTATCAAGAGTGTGAATTTGTAAACATCAACTTTGTTTCCGTCACATTTAATGAGTGATCTTTTGTTAGAAATATGACTCATTATTTCAAGCGGAATCCATTATTTCAAGTGAAATTTCAAGTGGAATTCAGGAATGCAAACTCTTTGTCACTAACTACAGCCAAAGATTCACTAATACATCCATATGCACTCTTTTTATGTAGAAAACCTCAGTTATTTCATGCAATGTTTTTCATTTGTTTGTTTCTTTGTTTGTTTTAGCAAGACAGTGCCATTACAAAAAAATAGAATGACAACGATGCAGAACACAATGCTTAGATAGGTGTGAATAATTTTCTATGCTGAGGGAATATAGAAATTGAAGGTTGAGCTGTCAAACAGCAGAGCTATTCTCAATGTGTCCACCATGCAGTATCCACTTCAGCTGCCACTGACTTGCTCGAGCTCGGCAAGCAGTGCACCTCCCGTTTCCCGCTACTTCTTCTTAACATTGTTTTAATGCCATGAAGCTTTCACAACTCTCGACAGAAAAGAGAAGGGCAGAACCTGTTTTGAATGCAATGAAACGCAGACCCCAGAGATCCGCTGTTCGGCGCACATCTCGTAGGCCGTGCATGAACTTTGATCATGTCAGTCCTCGAATTAAGTTTAATGCAAGCCGCCTACCTAATGCACACCTAGAAGGTCAACACACATTCCCTGCATCGTTTTCAAACACCCTGAACTTGTTCATATGCAAGTTCACCCTTGCCAAGCTTGTTCAAGTGCCCTGTTACTGTACATTTTGTCCACTTTCTTTTCTTTAAACTGGGGATGTACTGGCGAGTTTGGTGCATCAACATAATCAATAGCCCTATGAAGTCGTGGCTCACTGTTTTATGAGTGACAATGTGCTTTGCCAAAGTGGACATGTCCACGAGGTGGACACATCAAGAATAGCTCCTCAGCTGTGAGTTAAGTGACCGTTTGTCCACTTCACTGCATCTATATTTTTGTGCGTGCTGAAATTCTGCCATAAACTCCCATCTCATCGGTGTTTAACTGCAATAATAAATCTAGAAAGATTTATTTTTAAATGTGCCAATTCTTTCTGGACATCTGAATTTGCCACCATTTTTCTTTTTTGGTAGTTTAATACCAGGACCCGCCTGAAGACTTTAAAGAATTTGCATAATGGTTAACAAGTTAGAAGTCCAAATTTGCTACCTTTAATACCCACAATAAAATTTTCATAGACAAGAACTTGAACAAGGACACAGAAAGAGACAGACAGACAGACAAACACGTCATTGTCTTAACCGACACTCACCGGAAGAGTCGGCGCATTGCCAGGGGCACAGGGAGGCTCCGAATGGCAGCTCGCATTTCTGCTTGCTCCTCCTCACTCAGTGATTCCTCCAGTCCGGATTCAAACTGGAAGAAGAAATTCGACAGCTTTATTGATTTTAGGGGCCAAGCTCCTTATGGCATGGGTCTGTCGCTCCGTATGTATGTATGTATGTATGTGTGTGTGTGTGTGTGTGCGTGTGTATGTGTGTGTATGTATGTGTGTGTGTATGTGTGTATGTATGTATGTATGTATGTATGTATGTATGTATGTATGTATGTATGTATGTACGTATGTACGTATGTATGCATGTATGTATGTATGTATGTGCATACATAGTCCTAGTCATCACTGGTGGCACATACCCACTCTAGAAAGGGTATGTGCTACAGGGGTTATGAGATGGGGGATGGCGGTACTTGGAGTGTTCACTAGATGGACGCACGGATGGACGGACAGACAGACTGGCAGACGGATGGACAAATGGATGGACGTGCAGACGTACGGATGGATGGATGCAGGAACGGATGGACGGACTCATGGACGGACTCATGAATTGACGCACGGATCGTCGCTTGGGCGGACGGAAGCAAGAACGAACGGGCTGACGGACACTTTGCCCCACTGATCATAATTCACTGCAAGGATATGCTGTGATTTTTTTCCTAGGACTTCTCACCGTTTATGCTTTCACGAGTTACAGAGAAAGTATACGTAATGGGCAATGAAGCAGCTGATGATTCAGAATCTAATCGCACAATATTGCAGATTTATATTTTTGTGACAACTGGTAAATGGGGTTGTCCTCTCACAAACAGACTTGTCTTTCTCACCTCCATCATAACAAAAAAGGGGAGAGGGCAACTGCAGATAAGGGGGGGGGGAGGCCGAGGTGAGCACTGTGGGGAATTGTGTGATTGAAAAGGGGAGAGACATTCTGCAAATAAAAAGAAAAGAAATAAACGTAGTGACATTTCACTGAATCACAGTGGTCAGAAGAAGTACAACTTAACAATGGTAGGCTTGAAATTCCTAGAAAGAGGGCGTAACTCCGATTGGTTTTCTTTGTGTATGTACCCTGTCGAATGGATTCAAGAGCCTCTTTAGAAATGTTTATACCTATTGGCTGTAATGTATTGAACTGGTGAATACGGTGTGACTATATTGTATTGAACTGGAAGTTTGACTGAAGTATGTAAAGTTTCAGATTATCAAAGATGTGTCTTTCAGCACTGGTACGGCAACTTTCGGCACTAGTATGAGAACTCCTTTTGCGCCAACATACACCGGCATTTTATGGGACAATTAGAATCGGAGCTGCTGAAATAATTTTCAGTTAAGTTTCTCACTAGTCTCTGCACATGAGGACACCGCACAGCACTGTTAACAATCACATGAGCGACCTGAAGCTAGAAGCACTGCGCGGTGTCCCTATGTGCCTTTCCGTGTCTATGTGTCGTCCCGCACTGTCTCGAGGCTGTTCCAAAACCCCCTATGGTCACTTACCACAGAATCATAAGCATCGAGGCCACCTGGCGAACGCATACTCAGGGCACGATTCAAGCAGCTGGATCCAGTTCGCCGTCTATGCGTAGCAGAGGACAACTGCCGTCGTACAATTAAAGTGTCCGGGTCTTCAATGGATGCCTGCACAACACAAGTTTCAAAATAGAATGTCTGAAAGTGCAACATGTAGTATTTATTGATTTCTTGAACATAACTACGAAACTTGCCTATGACATATTGCCGGCGCAGTAAGTAAAGCATAATGAGAGCAACATTCGCAGTACATCAAGTGGCATAAAAATTACGCTGCGTAAAGTTCTAAAGCATCCCTTAAGGGGTCCTGAAAACAACTTTTGAGACTGAGCTTACTATGCCACACAAATCTGCTTTTTGCAGACATGACTCTGACCAAGTGTGAAGTATAGACAATGCAGATAAGACATTTCATTTTAACATTAAAGTCTACTTTCGCGTAGCTAACCTTTTGACGCCAATACTAGTGCGACTATAATTGTGTGTACAATCTCATAATGCGATACTACTATTTTGAGACATTTCTTGCAACTAACCTAAACACAACAAAAACGAATACCAAAGATTATTGAATTCGACAAGATGATTCGAGAATGTTTGCTGCTGATATTGGAATGCAATAAATATATGTTAACAACAAACGTTGAAGCATAAAGAAGTTATATCTGTGCAACACATACTGTAGCTTCGTTACAAAAAGGTTCAACTGCGGCAGTAAGTATGCAGATGTTATTCAGTATTGTAGCCTTCTGGGCAAGTTAATTTATAATAATCAGAAGATGAAACCAAAGAAAATCACACGAAGACAGAGAAGGAGCCGAACCAGAAGGGACAAGCGCTGGACTTACCACTGAATGTTATTACAAAAATGGTGACATGGCAAAATATGGTTATAAATAGAACCACCAAATGTACAGGTACCCTGTGATGTGCCAAAACAAGTATTTGGTGTGGAACGTAGTGTTTTGACAAATGTACAGGTACCCTGTGATGTGCCAAAACACAGTATTAGGTGTGGAACGTAGTGTTTTGATAATGTACAGATGGGTTCACTGTTAAAGGGAACACTTTCGTGTGCACCATGCCAAGATCTTGCTCTCTGGCAAAAGCATAGTGGCTAATATTTGCATTAGGCTACTGCTGGTTGACTTTTGTGGCTACTTTTGATAGACTAGTGCCGGCAGAATATTTCTATGTCTACTTGCAGTTATGGGGCCCACAATATGACAGGTGCTCATTGGAGTGTTCCCTTTAACAGTGGACAGCACTATACACACAATATCACTTGGTTCAAGCCAAGTTCAAACCGAAGCTGTACACCACGGTTCAAGGAATCTGTACTCACCCTCGACATGGCTGGCAGGGTTGCAGCAGCAAACCGCCCAGAATAAACAGTGCTCCGGCGGCGTGATGGCAGCAAGGTGCAAACTGCCCGTGCCCAGTCACGGTGACCACTCCAGTGCGAAAGGGTGCTACAGAGCTCGCCAAGATCAGTCTTGCTAGACCGCCGCCCAAGGGTGTACTGCCAGAGCCGCACCCGCTCTTCTTCCCCCTCGGTGTCTGCAAGACAGAGAGACAGACTCATTAACTTGCGGTTAGGCTATAGCCTGAGTTAGTTGGCACGTAGCACTGAAAGATTGAACCATACAAAACGACAAAGGAGAGCAATCGCACACACAACAACAGGACGATCAGCTGGGCTATATAATCAACACCATGTTCCTGAAAGATGGGGGGAACATGGGCTGTTCCACCACCAAAATAACAAAGGTCTACTTAAAAATCTAGAAGCTAATGCATAAGTGATAGGAGCCCAATTTCCTTCTGCATCAAAGAAATGGATGAAATGCTGACACAGTTGCCACCCAGGATACATTTCTTTGATGAAGAAAGAACTTGGGTTCCTATAAATTTGGCATTAGCTTCTCAGCTTTTAAATGGTCCTTTGTTATTTTGCTGTTCAAACAGTGCATTCGTTTCTGGCTTTCTTAGAAGATCGTGTGTCTTAATAAAGCAAAGAAATAGACCTGTCATTGTGTGTGCCACTCTTTTCCTCTGTCCTTTTGACTGGTTCATTTTTTCAGGCTCAATAACTTTCAAGCTGAAAAAGAATTGCTGATGACTATAATACTCTCTAACGTAAAAGTTGAGCACAGGTCTATGTGGTGCAGAGATAACATTCAAATTTTGTATGAGAGATGTGGAGGTACTATAACTCTCTGCAAAGTCGTTTGCGCCTCGTGGCACACATGTGTTTCGTGCATAGGCCACATTTAGAGTTCACAACTATCGAGCGGAATCAGTTGTACACGCAAGCGTTTATCACAACCATCATCATCATAATGGTTAGTGCGGTAGCGCCAATAGTGACACCTGGCGGCAGGGCTGGCTGGCAGTACAAGATATCAGCGGTCCTCTTTGGCGCGTGGTAGTTGTCGCGAACAGTTGTCTCCTATGGTGGGTTCATAGGTGGATGGCACTGCAGGTCTTCTGCCGTGGGCCCTCGTGGTGAGTCGGGCGTTGGCGGTGCCCCCTTCGTGCTACTTTCATTTCATTTCATTTCATTTCATTTATTTATACTGTTAGCCCAGAAGTGGGCCGTTACAGGGTGGAAGTACAAACAATTATTTGCAAAAAAGAAGTACCGTACAGGTCTCGAGATAATTTCTCGGTATTATTGTGACCAGCAACTCGAAGTTATACATAACATATATAAATGGAACACACATGCGACGCAATACATACGCGCAGAACAGCACATGACGCATTTGAGGCGGCACTTTTGCACCGCTTTGAAGATTTGAAAGACAACTACTGCAGAATCATGCAACCAACAAAAAAGTACACCCACACGCCAAAAAAAAAAACATATGTCACTGTTATTCGGAAAATAAACGTTTTAGATTCTGTTCAAATGATGTAAGCGAGGAACAACCAATTATAGACTCTGGCAGCATATTCCAATCTTCAATAGCACGTGGAAAGTAACTGAACTTAAAGCAATCGTTACGTGGGACTAGGGGTGGTATATACATATTATGGCGATGTCTGGAGTGTTCTTGTGTGTTGACCTGGAAGTAATCTGAATAGTTTAGTTTAAAATGATTATGAATTAACTGGAAGAGGAATTTCAGACGCTCAATCCTCGTCCTAAGTTCAGGACTATCCAGTCCAGCTTTTTTACAGAGTTCAGTAGGAGAATGATGTCGGCGATATTTATTAAAAATAAATCTCGCACCAAGTCGCTGTATTTTTGTTATTTTATTGCAGTTTGTCTTTGTGTAAGGGTCCCAGACAATTTTAGAATATTCGATAATAGGTCTGACAAGAGTTTTGTAAGCAAGACACTTTATATCAGAAGGGGCGGTATAAAGGTTACGTCTAAGGCTATACAATGCCTTGGTAGCCCTGGAGCATACATTATCAATATGAGTGTTCCACCGGAGGTCGGGCGTGAACCATAACCCAAGATATTTATAGTTTTGTACACGCTTGAGGAAAGCATTGCCAATCTGGTAGTTGTAATCTAGAGGTGCTTTCTTTCTAGTTATAGTCATAAAGACTGTTTTTTCTGTGTTCAAACTCATTTGCCATTCTTCGCACCAATCCTTTATTCTTTGAAGATTGTTGTTTAGATTAACTTGGTCATGTTCAGTCTCGATTCTGCTATAAACAACACAGTCATCGGCAAACAACCTTATCGGGACCGTAACGCGGTTTGGTAGGTCATTTATATATAACAAAAATAAAAGGGGACCCAGCACACTCCCCTGGGGAACTCCAGAATTCACAGCAACTGCTCTAGACTTGTTTGTTTATATGTTTGACTGAGTGTATCGAAATATTGTGTAAAGTCGTGTTTAGCATGTTGACCACTAGTGATATATTTTGATTCGGCTGACGATATTGTCGTTGTAAAAAACAGTTAAAAATAAATGCGTTGTTTGGTTTGGGTCTGACCACATCTGCTGTGTTTATGTGTTCCGAGAGCGTGCCTCCTTCGAGATCTCACAGCGAGTATCGCAATCATCGATGATGTGTGCTCTCATTTTGTGATGTACTGAGACAATGAATTTGGCGGACATGTACCTACAGTTACAGGAAAATTATGATTTGCGGGTCAAGCAGTGAGAAAAAAAATTGATAGGAGGAGTTCACCGAGAAAGCGTCCAAAGTGGTATTGACGATAATTATGTAGGAAGACTAAGATGGCTGCTCGGTGATCCAGTGACACAGTAAGAATTAGTGCCTTATGAGCCACTAGTGACTCTCTTTTGCATGATTGACAGCTATTTCTGAGCCCATGATGACATGCAGCTGCAAGAAATTAGGGTCATGCAGAAGTTTATTCAAATGCCACACCAGTGTACTATGTGAGGAATGCAGTAATCATTCTACTAGCCACCCTCTCCCAGAAAGAGCCTTGTGAGCTAAAAACTGATAAAATCTTATGAAGAATCAGCTAGCGAGTTGTAACTGATAGTCTTCTCAGATATGCTATGTCAACAAGGCCAAGCCATTAAGGGAGTGGCTCAATTAGTGCACATTCAAAAAAGCTAACCAGGCTTGTCCACTATTTTTAATCATGAATGTGAAGAAGGAAGGAAATTTTGAAGCCACCTCGTGTGTTTATTTTACTATGCACTTTATATCAATGCTCACTAATGTATCCTTAATTATTTTCCTCTAATTGACCCAATACTAAGCTAATATGCTTCGAGTATCATCATATATATGCACAGTCACGCTTTTACTTGCTTTTGTATAACTTTTGGAGCCATACACATTGTGGGGTCTCGGCGAGGCGAACGCACGCACCGCCACGCCACGCTCTTGGAGTGACGGACACAGTGAACACGGTCGGTACAAAGCACACAACGTACATACATTTATTAACTAATTTAGACGACGATATCGTCCGCCGAATTATACACCAATTTCAACTAACACGCTACCATACAAACAACATAACGCAGGGACACACTAAACACACAATAACATGATAAACCCACACTAACACACCCAACACACTAGCACATACCCAAGGCGGCGTCGCCAACGCCTGACCTTACACGCGGGACCACGGCGCGAAGCCCGCGGTGCCGAGCACCGGGGACCCGCGCCACAGACAACCGTTCGCGGCAGCCGCCACGCGCAGAAGAGGCTCGCTCAACGCTCGCCCACCACCAAGGCCCGCCTTCCGCCAGGGGCCACCACCGGCGCTGCCACTCTACCAACAGTGGTACTCAGAGCGAACACAACGCCATCTATCGCCCGGTGGTGGTCACCACTGAAATAACGCCCTGGGGCGAGACACGTGCGCCACGCGGCGCAGACAACTTTACAGGAGGGGTGTCAGCACCCCCACAACATCACACGATTTTTTTCGTATGAGGCCATGTTCATACGACACATGAAACATAAAAGGCTTTTGCCTTAATAGAAAAGCAGTTGTATCAGCATCCATTAGTGCTTGCTTGCATCTTGGCTGTCCATATCCCTCTATTGTGCTTCTTCGTTATGATCCTGTATCTGCATGTTTCAAGAGAGACAACCTTTGAGGATTACTAAAACATAACTGTGAAGTGTTCTCAATTCTCATATGTTCAAGAGGGTATGAACACTGGTGTGGAGTTTTCCTCTCACTACATTCATTCAATTCTGTCCGTGCCTCCCAGAGGTCTTCATTACTTGGTAAGCAAATTATTACTACACTCAATTGTTCTTATTTTTTTCTAAATTTTCTCCTGCTACTTGTGCAATCGCTTATTAACCAATACTTTGGATCAAGTTATTGACTCTCGATGACTGATTGATTGATTTGTGGGGTTTAACGTCCCAAAACCACCATATGATTATGAGAGATGCCGTAGTGGAGGGCTCCGGAAATTTCGCCCACCTGGGGTTCTTTAACGTGCACGCAAATCTGAGCACACGGGCCTACAACATTTCCGCCTCCATCGGAAATGCAGCCGCCGCAGCCGGGATTTGAACCCGCGACCTGCGGGTGAGCAGCCGAGTACCTTAGCCACTAGACCACCGCGGCAGGGCAAGTTATTGACTCTCCTATAGGCGTATTTTGCAAGTGAATCTGTTATGATATCTATTTCAGTTATACTGTCAAGTATTCAGTTTATACTGTAAAACACCAATAAACAGGTAGCAAGCTCGAAGGAAACAAACAGAAAAAAGCCTGGGAAGAATGCTGCATCAGAAAGAGAAAGGAAAGAGTGCAGTTAGCAAAAGAGGACAGGAAAAAGCACTTCCTAATTCGGTACTTGCACAGCACGCTACCCATTCAATGATAGGAACCAACTAGCTTGCATAAAGGTCTTATTGTAAAACACCACTGTACCTTTAGACACTCAAGACATCTGAAAGGCTCACTCAGTAGAAAAACAATTGAGATGACTTTACCATAGATATATAAGCTTGCCTGTCTAATGAAATACTCTGTTCTGGGCTTACATATACAATGAAACCATGTCACCACATTCTTGTTTCCAATTCAATACCCATAGGGTCACAAATATTATCTTCCAGGCTGTTACATCCAAGAA